TGTACTGTATATGCCTATTTCAGATAAATGTAGCTTTTTTCATCATTTAAATTGATTTTTATCGAATGTAATACCAAAATGAATAATTAAGTTTAATTAAAAAACTTACGTCCGAGAAGAAATGTTCTTATGTGTTGTTTTTTTATATAATATTCAATTTTCATGTGAACATAATTTTTACACAAAAGTATGTATAAAACTAAAAGAATTGGAAGCATATTTGGCCCCTCAATGTTATTTGTCAGTATAGCTCTAGAAAAAATAATAAACTGATATTTTCCAGCCAACACTTCGTCTGCTTACTGGTTTGTTTACGGTGCTACAACCTATTATCATCAGGTACTCAAATAAAGTCTGTCAGCAGTCGAAATACTGGCAAAAAAATTGAGTTTATCAACACAGTCAGTTTATCTAAAAGTTAGCTAGCCTTGTTTTATTTATTTCGGCATCGATGCTATTAAAATTCCAAATCTTCACCTAAATCATTTCTTCGAACACAATCCCAAAGTATTCTTTTACAATTGTTATAATCATCATTAACCATTGATGGTACTCTATGGCAGTGTGGTCGAACTCAACGCCATCTAGCGGTCTATAATAAATGCATCTTTGTGTGATCTTGAAGTTCGATATTATTTAACAAAACTGCAGGTATAAAAAATAGGTTACAAATTTTATCAAGTAATGGCTTTCAAATGCAAACACAATTTAGTGTCGTTATGAAGAGGAATAAACTAAACATACCAACATTTGTGTGCATTTATTTTATTTATTAGCAGTTGAAATACAAGACAGAAATAAGACGCCACCTAGCGTGCTTTATAAATCTGGCATTTAATTTTACAAGTGGAATATCGCTATTGAGAATTAGAAGTGACCCTAGTTATCCCGATGAAGCTAGATTTATGCGAACCAGCTGCTGCGCTAAAAGGTCAGGATCATCGTGCACCCTATAAATACTTGACATCAAAAGCAATGATTTCAAAACATTGTAGACCGTCACATATATTCTTTATTTTTATGCTGCAGAAGAATATCTTGTCAAAACGATAGTCCACTAAAATAAACCTAAAGGTCCAAACATATATGTGTATTCTGGTTCTGGTTTGTTCTGGTTGTGAATAAACACTACGAAAGTAATTGCTAAATACCTAGAATTCGGTTAAGAAATCCCTACTATAACTATTGTATAATTTCTAACCTCACTACTTCCTAAAAGATATTACCAAGAAAAACTTTAACAATTAACTATTAGAAAGATTGAAAGCAAGCCATATTTCCAGGAAGATATTTAAAGAAAAGTTTTAAGAAGCTACTGCAGTCTACTAGTATGTTTATCGTTCATTCGCAGGACGTTTGGGGTTCAGGTTCAGGTAGTAAGGCACATGGTCTGAAGCATAACATAGTCATTGTTGTTGTTTGTTGACGGGAGTCCCCTCACTGTACCCTTCTCTGCAAACTCAACGATGTTATAGTTGATGTCATCATCAAGGCTTGTCGACAGAACGCTATAATACCCAGCGTCGCGGAAAACCTGCAACAAGCCCGCGACTGCACCGGCGACGAGAGGGGACGCCATTGACGTCCCATCAGACTCAATCCCACCGTAGTTGTTCGCGTAATCGGCGGCCGTTATTTTCGTCCCTGGAGCTTACATATCGACGCACGGTCCAATGTTACTAAATGAAGCCACGTAATCATTAATCTGGGTGACACCAACTGTGAGGGCTCCTTGCACGCTTGCTGTACACATACAGTGAGGTAAGGTTTTAGACGCCGATGTAGTCTACATCATTTGGTATGCATCCTTAGTTTGAGGTAAACTTCCAGACTATACTTACTTCAATCATTAGTTCGTAACGAACCAGCTTGTCTACCACCTGTTATGTGCTGCCAGATCTACTTACGACATACAGGGTATGCTTCCATTCAATATGGATGCTGAGCTGCACCATTTTACAAAAAAAAACTGATTTTCTGAGCCACCCCAGCTATGCTCAAATTGTCTGCTTTGGTCAATTATCCAAGTATCGGATCAATAAATCTCCGAGACGACTTCACCCAAAGTCAATATTCGTATAATACAATTTTTAAACTACTGGTCACCGGATAATTATTGTGTTCTGTGATCAAGTTAAGATGGGCCATCGCCAAATTGTAACAAAAAAGTAAGACCGTAACGCAAATGGCACCATTCCTGTCGATGTATTTATATAATTCAGCAGCTAGCTTTCTCTGAAGAACACCAAACTAGATCAAGCTTAAGCTTCACGAGGAATGGCAGCCCAAAGGTGGGCCGCCCTGTGCAACAGTGCCCGACTCACAGTCTTCAGCTATTCTCTTCTGAACTTGACATAACCAAGGAGTTATAACATCTGTTATAACTCCTTGACATAACTTAGCATGGAGTCTGCTCACAGCACCACGAAGAAGAAATTCAGAAAACCAGACATGCCTCCAATGACGCTTTTCATGACAGTGAAATCGCTGGATCAATTCCTAGCGGCGGTTGTACCTCTGTTCCTATGGGTATATCTTGGCCCAGGCCAAGAACCAGGACTCCGCTTTTGATTGGTCTTCCTTTGCCACTGCTTTTAAAAGGTCTGATAGCGCTCCTACCGGAGATCCTATCTACAGTGTAGCTGTCTTTTTTGTCTTTTTTATAAGCCACCTTTCTTGCGCCCTTTAATCTACTCTACATAACTCGTATACCAAATATCTCACATTAAGACCACGTTCATCTAAATGTATATACAGTTTATACAAATGACAAGTAAGGTAAAGCCTTTTCATCTTCCATTTTGGTCAAGCAGTATTTTGTTGTGCAAAAACCTTTTATTTTAGCAACTTATAGACCCTATGCATGTTTACATGTATGTGTCCAATGCATGAGCAAATAGAAGAGGGGCCCAGAGAGAGAGAGAGAGAGAGAGAGAGAGAGAGAGAGAGAGAGTGTGGACGTGTGTGCAGGCGACAAATTAAAGGACTGAAAGAGTGAGAATGAGAAAGAGAGGGGGAAAGGGGATGCTGGCATATTGCAGTAACGGCCTCGGTGAACTTGACACAAACATGTAGGCCTATTTTTAAGGACCCTCTCTCTCCAGTCTTTAACCACTGCAGTAACAAAGAACCACGACAGTTCCTCACGTGAATGTTTATACCTAGTTTAGACTGCAATTGTTATTCTTCCTCTTATCTTTCTCCCCACACTCATTTTCCACACTTATCATATTAGCAAAGGGCAGAAACGAATCACAACTTCATTTCACAGGCTTAATTTTTCTCCTATTTCTTTTAACTGACGTACGGGCATTGAATATTACTTCAGTAGGGCACGTTTTGGATCATGACTTTGTCTTTAAAAATACTGATATATGTACACGTAGTTGTCTGTATATCCTTGGACCAAGGACGTCTTCAACTTCCTTGCTTATACCCCCTTTACACTGGACGGCGTCCTTTCTGCGACCATGAAATTTGGCATCGCTGTGGTCTTAATAAGGAGGCACGAGCATTGATTTTGTATCAGAATGAATGCTCAATGATCGGCCGGTTGTCGGCACGTAAAGTATTATAATTTTTTAACTCTCAAATGGGGCCGTACTGCTGGACGCAGAAAGGACGCCGTCCAGTGTAAAGGGGCCCTTAGACATAATAACGAATATGCCCAAGGTTTATCTAATCCAACTATTGACAACACTTAACTTATATCTCATATAATAATCACATTACCTGATCTCAAATGATTGATTTATTGGTTCTCTACATCGTCATGTATAATGCCTGTGACATTTCGAAATGAAACGATTACTTATAAAACATTACCGGTAGTATACTGTCTGTACCGGTACATAGAATCTTAAGTCATAATAAGATAAGAGCGGCAGCGAGGAAATAAATAGAAAACGTCAAGTTTCTTTTGCTGATAAACATTTTGCATGGGACGAGTTTCTTCCTTCAGCGGTGTAAGTTATACACTCGTCATCAAATTAGATGGCAGTAATTGTTAGAAGTATTTCCAGGTACGCTCTATTCTTGGAAGAACTTTACAGCAGTTATAAGAAAAATTATTTAAGTACTAGTTACATTGTTGCGACATACAAGAGCGTAGCCTAATGAGGCGCAGCCGAGATAAGATATAATTTGCTCTTGTATGTCGCTTATGTACAGTGGACGACGAGAAATAGCAAAAGAAATATGATGTTTTCTATAACTGTAAATGACTCATACCACGACTAGCACTTCGAACAATAGGATGAATGCACCGAAGAGTATTGAAAATAAAGGCAAGCCTGTATGCGAAATACAAGCCCATTGTCCTATTGTTCGAAGCGCCAGTCGCGGTATTATCATTCTTCCAAGAAAGCCAAACAAACGCACCTTGAGATAAAAAGATTACTGAAAACTGAATCACATGAATTGTAAGGTTTAGTTTACTTTTATCAAGGAGTTATAACAGAAGCCTTCTGTTATAACTCCTTGCTTTTATTGAGGTTGAGGAGCCGGGTGAATTTATTGGCTCATCTAATGCAATGGACATTCATTTGCATAAATGACAACTTTTCATTCAGGGTGGTGCACCATGAGTTTGCACTTTATTTCATTCAGCACAGTGTCTCCGTAGAAGGGAAACTTAGTATATTCTTTCTTTTTGATCAGTTATTTACACTTTTGCTACTTGAAATTTATAGTTAAAGGAATGGCAGAAATGGTGAGTTTTTTAAATACGCACTGTTTATTGATAATTATTGATCATTGAAAATTATCAGTTTTTGTGTAAGTAAATTTAAGCACATAAATAACGGGTAGTGAGAGTATTATTGTAATTTTCTTTTTTTTCCCCTCTTTTTAGTTTTTACGTGTCTTGAGAATTTCTACGTGAAATAAAACCAAGGTCTAGTTAACAACTTATGCTTTTCCTTAACTTATCTATATAGCCCTTGTGTGCTATATGAATAATCATTATGACTGTCCCTCCATCCCCCCCCCCCCCCAGTATATATGCACCACAGTTTGTTTTGTAACGTTTGCTGTATGAGGTGCTGATGAAAATGCACATGCAGTTATATACAAAGTGAAAAAATGAACAAAGAGCATACAAATATACACCTTCTCAATGATAAATTAAAATCTGTGAAAACACACGAGATAATAGAAAGAAGTTTACAGTTTTTTCTAATACTTTCTTATATTCCGGGTTATCACTAACCAAACTAATCATTACACATTAATGTAATAACCATCGTGTAATGACCATTAATTCACGTTTGCCGATGTGATTAAATCACGTGCAAATATGTAATTCGTTTTAAAAAGGTAAGAAAAATACAGGACCTTTTATTCTTCCTTCACCCGAATGCATCGTCTCTGATAAAATATGATTTTGATGAAGATCGCACTGGTTGTGATTGTTCTTTTATTTTTTATGATGTATTAAGTCGTTATTTATTTGGTTGGCATTTGATTTCGGTTTGTTTTGATCAATCTGATTGGCGTGACTCGCAACAGCAGCATCACAGCGTTCATCATGTAACATAGAATTGAACAGACTTGAATCATTTTATGTCATTTCTTTTCACCTTGCGTTAATTTTAGTGCTTCGTGAGCAATTTGGCATTACCATGCACGATTGTCCTGCTGCATGTAGGTCTGTGAATTATGCGGAACTAGAATCGTAATTCCATTACCCCAGTTCATATGGTACATGTACATGTACTCTACAGCTCTGTTTTTTGCATCTTCAATTCCTTTCTCTTTTCTTCGACAAGTTTGGGAATGGTCCGAGTCCAAAACTCCATGTACTCTGACAACAGATTTGATTTCATGGTCAGGATGTCGTCATAATTCAAGTATGCTTTACTTTCGGACGTGTACTCTTCCCATTTCACACCATCTTGAAGACTGCGGCCTTGGTTTGGATTTCTGGAATTGAAATAATCCCATGAATATTGTGTAAAAGTAGTAAATCTTTATTTTATATTGTGAACAGAATAATTAAAAGTTGCGAAACGTGCATGCTGAAGGGAAGAGTCATGATGATTATTTATGTGGATCAGGTTTCAATAATCTTTTTATTTTAGGGTGCGGTTGTTTGGCTAACTTGGAAGAATGATTGAATAATTTTCCTTAAAACTTTAAATTAATTTGCAATAGCCCCCATGTCAGAGCCATACAGATGGTTCAATCTGCTGGTTTTACCCGGTTTTAGCAAAGTTCGTCCAGTGGGTCATCATGGTATTCGTTATCTTCTGATCCTCCTCGTTCCACGCAATCTCACCAGCAAGTTTTCCCATTACTCCCGGACCCCCAGAGACATAAAATGCGTCATCCCCGTGCGACGCGCCCTCTAACGCCCATTCCGGCAGCGGAATGCCCACCAGCGCGCCCAGAAAAGTTTGGCCTGGGAATTTTCTTGTCAGATGATAAACGTAAGTTCCAGCAGAATTTTGTCCAGCGTTTGCTTTTGCCTTAATATGTGCCAAGGCAGTCTCAGGTACTTGTTGATTGAAAGTTATGTGGCTGTACAAGTCTCGGAGGGCGCGAGAGTTTGCGATAATGTCGTCGGAATCCAAATTGTACTTCTCGCGGATGAGACTCTCGAGATCTCTCGCGAACTCCGGCAGCTGGTACTGTCGTGACAACCCGACAGCTATCGGTTTGAGAAGGGTATCCATTACATGTTTTGGGATACCGAGAGCCATGTCAAATCCTAGTACCTGTTGGGTAAAAAGAGGCAAATACAAGAAAACGTTGCCCTCGTCGGATGTCGATCCTACAATCAAATCAATTGTGCCAAGTATGTTATCAGCTGCACTGAGCGGTTTTTCTATAAAGGACGAAAAATGCTCCTTTATTCCGTGCGGCACAATCATTCCGTCTTCGACCGGGCCAATCCTTTCGACCCCACCTTCTCTGGTCGACATTTCTGTCGCTGTGTTGGATGCATTCAACAGGTCCTCAGCCGCGACTCCCCGCAAACATTCCACCAATTTCCCATTGTCAGTTAAATCCGTGTTGTCCCGCGTGTTGCATCCTAGCAGACGACCAACATCGCGGACAATTTTCAGGGGATCAAGAGCCAGGTCGTAGCCGTTGCTGAAAGTCACGGAGCTCTGAATGATAGCCCTTTTGAACAGTCCCTTACTGTGACGCGTGACAGCGTGGTGAGCAACGCTACTTCCACCAGCAGATATGCCAAACACGGTTATGGCGTTGGGATCTCCACCGAAGGCATCGATGTTGTCTTTCACCCATTTCAACGCTGCGTGCTGATCCCATAGCCCATAGTTACCAGACGCGTGGTTGTCGAGGGTGCTTATAAACCCAAATATATCCAACCTGTAGTTGATGGTAACGCATATCACATCACCGTGAATAGACAGTCGTTCACATGGCGAAAACATTCCCTGACCATTGCGATATCCACCACCGTGTATAAACACCATAACCGCTTTTGGACCCCTGTCATCCGTAACCGGAACGTAAACGTGTAGATGCAGACAGTCCTCGGAAAAGTCGATATTCGGAAGGAACTCCGCTGCCCGGGGCACGGGGACTTGGTGGCACGAAGGGCCGTATTTGGTCGCGTCCATTACCCCGTCCCAGGCCGCTTTAGGAACGGGTCGCCTGAAGCGAAGGTCTCCGACGGGGGGCTCGGCGTAAGGGATTGTAAGGAATGTCTTGAGAGGTGTACCGTCCACGGTCTCCGTTTTACCTCGTATATCTCCCAGTCGTGTCTGCACGGTTATTTCTTCCGCTGTTATTAGAAGACTTGAGAATGCTGCATGTATTAAAAACAGCCGTGCCATGGTGTCTGCACAGAAAATGCGAAAAAATGCCATAGTGCATTAGGCCTGCAGGATAATACAATGCAATGATATGTTCAGCAGACCAATAGACAGCTCAGGAAATTACTGCAGTTCTATAACGGCGACACTAACCTGTTATGCACAAAAAAAGTCTGTCATGCAGTGACACAAACGCTAGAACTCGAACACGTAGGCCTCCGTATAAAACAAAGGTTAACCGGTGAGTTAATCGCAGTGTAGGTCGACCCACAGTTGCGGTACAAAAGTGTCACCTCAGCCGTTCTTAAATAAACCGTGGAAATGCATGGTGTCGATCCGTTTGGGTTAAATTCGACTCCCTCCTTTTTAGTACTGCTTCCAATGATCTTAATATGACCTTCACAACTCTTCCACCTGGATCGATGACCTAGATACCTGCAGCCATTCATATCTGAGTTTTTAAACACTATTGACCCACTTGCCAGTGCGTACGAGTGTACTTTGCAACCCGGTTGTGATTTTAGGCACGCATGAATGTGCAAATTTGTGTCTGCTACGCGCGCGCGCATGCGTACGCGTGCGTGTGAATGCGTGCGTGTGTGAATCTTAATCACTTTTCCACACATACAGGTACGTGCGCTGGGCACAGGCGCACTTCTTCTTTTGTCATCCTTCTTATACCTGTTATACATTCTTAATTATACCTGACGAGGGGAGAAAGACCCGAGTTTTCTGTCTCTGGCGAGCTGGAATGCTTGGTTGAGTGGGATATGTTGTTCGACTGCAAGGCGCACATACATGTTAAATGTACATTTGTAATGGTGCGTGTATAAGCGACACACGGCGGAACTTGGCGCGAGTTTAAGTCCGCACACTGAATGTGCACCCCCTTTTTTTGTGATAATATGCCCGGAACTGTTTGTCTATCAGTCACATAATGCACGTTTAACCATTTACATGTCTGTTATGTAGTCATATCTATACATGTGCTTACTACACATATACAACCAGTATATATGAATGTACTGATTATTTATTTCAACTTGATAAACATTTGTTCATTTTAATACTTATAATATTTCTATTGTAGGTTTTTGCGTGTCCGGCAAGTGGACGATGCTATATGAACACAAAGCTTCAGGAGCGGTGATGAGGCGCAGCATGCAGCTTCTCGGCTCTAAAAACTGCAGTCAAAAATATCGCCCGTATCTACACAAAATGGACCTCTAACTTATGAATTTTGACTGAATATACGGTACATACAGGGTTTTAAACCGCGTGAAGTTGCTCTACATTATACAGTAATTATACAGTGTATAATACAACATAGCTTTCTCTCCTCTACAGTTACCTAATCCAGGTAAAATGTTTATCGAGTACAGGACACAATACAAGAAAATAACGTTAAATACTAAATACTGACAGAATAAAACGATCAAATCATTTGTTGTTAAAATATCGTTTACCTCAGCAACTACGCGGTATATCCACGTTGATTTTTCCAAAAAGACAAACAATTAAAAAAACTATATAAAACATGAATCAGTAAACAAAAGGTACCTCTTCAATGTGCATAAAGTTAAATTAAGAGCTTTTAAACTGATTGTCGTAATCTACATGTGCCTTTAATATTCAACCTTACTTGCTGTACAATGATTTTGCAAGATGGGAATCAAAAAAATAAAATGTCTTCCCTTGCTCGGCAATTTAACTCTGGAACAGTACATGTAGGCACTTTGGCTATAATATGAAGAACGAAGGGGTTTGAAACTTGCACGGATTTGTCCCCCTTTAACTCGGTTTTACTTTTTGGGGAATAAGAGGGGGTATTTAAAAATCTGCGACAGGGACGTGAACCAACACCTCCACCCCTTTCACATGACGCAAGAACAACTAAATAATCCGCCCTATATTTAAGAGATAACAACTGTTCGTTATAGGCCGAAAAGTGCCATAAAACGAATTTTCCTGGGGTAAGCACCAATTTCCCCATACTTACGAATGGTTATTAAATTCGTTCCGACATTCAGAGTTAGTGCAGTTTTTTTTTTTTTTTTTTCAAAAAAATTGGTTTTTCAAATAATCTCTTAGTCTCAGAAAAAGTGTCTCAGCGTTAAAACCTACTGGTACCCCACGGTCTTAACATAACAGCTACAAGAACTGTTCACAAATTGCTGCAAAGAGATAAGTACATGCTTTCCGTTTCACGATTTCCGTTTCAAGTTTTCCGCTTCACCGGTAGTCGGCTAACTCCCGCTTTACTCTGCTGGCTTGTTTGAGACCGCTGCTGTGACAGTTGATCCTTTTCCAACTTAGCCAAACGTCTCTGTCTCAACTCATCGGGAGATAAAAGCCTGCCAGTCGAGGCACTGGCCTGTGGGGTTGTCGACGGTCGAGGAGAACCATTCTGCCGCTCTGTGGAGTTATTTGATGCTGAAAGAAAAGAAGAATATGAACGTTTTATGTTTAAATGTGCAGGGTCATCGGTGATAAATTAGCAAAATACGTTGGCGTTCAGTGTACTCGACACCAACCACTTCATAGCACGTCAAATTGAAGGGGAAACGTTTCAAAACATACATGCACTGGCAGAATGCAGATCAAACTTTAAGCAGTCAACATTGAGTGTACCAGTACCGATCGTAAAAATGTAAATAAATAAAAATAAAGAAAACCATTAATTAGTGACAGAGCAACCATTTCCACAACTACGTCTGTGAAATCAATGTTGTCGATGCTAAAAGCAATGTCGAGTGTTTTCTTAACTGCCCGCAGTAACATAAGCATCAGCTGTTGATTGCGATGGTGGCAGCGGTGAGTTATGACTACATGTATAAAAGAGAGCTATAAATTTCCTTGAAGTTGATTATACCAAGAACATGAATTCCATTTCCCTTGAGCAGCTGTGTCGATACGGTTTCTAAATTTGCTTTCTCGCTATCCACTGCTGTCACAGAATGTTTCTTCCCTTTGGATACATGTAACTCGCACGATAAGTGGGAGTCTGGTATTGAAGAAAGATCGTTATTTCTTTTCATTTTCTCAGGTTCCTGGATTCTTGCAGGTAGAGGCTTCATTCTAGACATCAGAAAGGTTTCTTCTTTGAAAGACAAATTTGAAGCAGAGGTTGGTGTCTTGCCAGTCGAGGTATCCACATAACAATTTGTAATTGTGATACGGGGCTGCCTCGCCTTGTCTTCCGTGGCTTCATCTTCTTCATCTTCATCTTCAGATGTTTCACACTGTTCAAGTTGTGATTTTGATAAAGCATCTAAAACTTTGCCACATTCCAGAGATAAAAGTTCCTGCATCTTATCATAATCATTCTCATCGTCTTTTGTATGTAAATCATTCCTCGTTAAGTTCAAATCATGAGGATTGCCATCTATGGTCTTTTCAAAACTGGAACCTCCTTGTTTCGCATTTCTGGGACTTGAAGAGATCTCTGTAGAGTCCTCCTCGTTTCCTAGTGGTGGGAAAATGTCTGAATAAACTCACGTTAATCCATTTTCTGGTTAGTACTGATGTGACACCCATCAGAATTATCCCAACACCAATATTGCAAGGGTAATTTTCTAGTAGTTCTAGTGATTCTGTGTCATATACAGGTGCAGCAGGGTCGTAGGCTGACTAAAACCCTTGGGGTTGGGGGGGGGGTTACAGGGCTTCAAAGCAGGTTATATCTACTGCCTGGGGTCCTCGTCTTGTCACTGACTGAAGGAACAATAATACGCTACTAATGGGCTGGGAGAGAGGAAAAAGCCGATGTCTATAAGTATCTCCAAATAATTTTACTTTAAAATTCTGCACCCCCCCCCCCCCTGCAGCCTACGGCCCTGTAAGTCTTCTAATAAATGTACTTGAAAACAGGTATATACATGTAAATGTACTTGAAAAGGGGGGATAACAATGACATATTTCAAAATACAAGAGCACTTTTATCAGAGGAATTGGAGAGAGATCTCCATGAAGATTAATAACAATGTAGGAAAAATGAAGCAAATACACAAATAGCCAGAAAAGATAATTGTATTTTTTATAGTACAAACATGATAGCTGTACAGTATTGATCATTACCAAACTGTAAACAACTTCATTTATTCGGAACATTATGATTATTAAATGTCTCTCAAGATTAAATTTTTAATTATATACATATTTGTGAAACATTATCTGCTGATTTCAACTCTTTTTTTGGACTTTCAACAGAACCACAGATATTGCCAGCAAAATGAGTGTTTGTGAATAAAAATTGAGTAAAAATGAAACAGATGCTGCTTGTGGTGAGTTTCCAATGCGCATGCACCTGTGGAGTCTTGAAAATGATAAAAAATGCAAAGCTACGGACCTCAAGCTCAAGATGTGATGACTACATGATTGACCATTGCAGTTACAGGAGTGAAAGTTATTGAAGTAGAAAAAAAATTAATTCGTAAACTTAACACATAGAATCAAGACATTAAAAGTAATATAGGGTTAATAACTTGAGGATTTTAAACAGGCTGTTGTGGAATGGCCTTATAAAGAAGCTACATGTATGACATGTGAGCATGCAAAAAATAAATTCACATCATCTGAACAATTTGACAGACTAAGACAATAATTATAAAAGTGTATCTGTATGCATATTTACATTTGAAACTTATTCTAAATTTTAGATCTTAAGACATTTTTTATTAATTTAATCATATCTGAATTCATATACTCAGTATAAATTCATACATATCTATTTAGTATTAGTATAGTAAGTATTAATACAAAAAATATGGTCATTTCTCAAATTTTTCAATGGCAAAAAATTGTGAAATTTTACGGAAACTGTATTTTCCCAAGTCATAATTTCTTAAATTTTCAACTTTCTTGTTGAGCGGTAGCAACAAAATAAAAAGGCAGGCCACGAATTCTATTTAGTAATATAAACTTTGTAATTATAAAATTATATATCTGAAAGTTTGATTACTTTAGCCCATTGAAAAGATCGAGTTATTACCATAACTCAGTCAATGGTATATAAAATTAAGTCTTATCTGAAATATATGTAACAGTTAACACTCAGGCCCTTTGCACATCAAGCAGTACAGCTTTTTGTACTGAACCAGGACTCATAACTCGAAAGCATCGAGAATTGGGTCCAAGTACAAGCATCTCTATTCCATAAATGGGCATTTACTCATCCCATATAACAGCCTCGAAATGAAAGGCTTTTGCAATTCGCGATGCTTTTTAGTTAAGGAGCCCAGTTTGACTGGTCTTAAAAAATATTACCAGTACACTGCTAGTCTTAGAATGAACCAATGAAAATAAAACTGCCAGTGGTCAAGATGGTTAACAGGCCATGTTGGGGACAAGGGCTCTGTTTAGGCAAGGAATTGCTGGCTTAAGTGACTTATTCATAAAATAACAAGGCCATTGAGATTTTTTAAAATCATTCAAACTGGATCCATACAGAAAACTGATGTGCAAAAGGACCTTAAAATGATTCAGTGAAGGAACAGATAAAGACAAGCTACTGGGGCATAGACGCTCAGATTAATTTAGCTTATCTACCATCGTCTGCAGACTGCCCAGTGGTCACATGCTGATCCTCCTCTGCCCCGTCATCTGTATAATGGGTAACTGGGACTACCTGGATGCCTTGAAGACATGGAAATTTATAACAATTTCAGGCCATTCAGTCTCTCTCTCCCTCCCTCTCTCTCTCTCTCTCTCTCTCTCTCTGTACCTGTTTACAATTGACAGATCTATGATTTTGCCAAAAAAAGTTGTGACAAAAGGAAAGAAATGTAAATATTAAAAAAATGGATAATGAAGATATAGGGATAGAGAAATGGGGCAGGGCTCAAGAGCTAAGGGCAGGAGATGGGCCCGCCCCTGGATCTGCCTTTATATAGCTGATGAATCATTATGATATCTGTGTGAAGAACCTCTAGAAACTGATACAACAATCACTCACTACACCAACTTGAAATAAATTCCAGTCCAATTTGTCAATGACATTTTTATGCTGAGAACTTTTTTATCAAGAGACAAACTTTCTAAAGCTCCCAGCTAAGATTCATACTCACTGTCTGCCATGCTCTCCTCCATAGCTCTTCTATACTGCTCTTCCTCTGTGAGGCCTCCTGTGTAGAGATTGGAGTTATATGATTCACCACTTCCTAAAATATTACAATATTGAAAAATATAAATGCATAGATTTACTAGTACTGTCATATGTATAAAAAGCATATCAAGGCTATTATCTACTTAAGTTATCACTCTTCAAAAATAATTTTAAGAGAAAAAGAATGTTTATTGTTAAAATAATATTCTTTTTCTCCTATTTTTTTAAATAAAAAGAATTGTTAAAATAATAAAAAACATAATCAGTGCAAGATGAACAGCATACAGTACCTCCTAAATTGTAACCTTGACCCTGATTTGATCCCTGACCTCTGAACTGCCTCCAACCACTGGCTCTACTTGTTGGTGTGAATCTTCTCGCGTCAGCTGCAAATAATTCAGTTGTTTCAGGCTTTTATATATTTATGTACTATCATGTGCACTGAACAATCAGATATTTTGTATGACAACTACAGAATCATGAAAACAATCAAAATAATACTGGCAGAATGACAGCTCCAAAGAACAAAAGACAAATTATTTAATGTTTTTTTATACATTTATTAGATCTGTGAAAAAAAATGTGAGATTTAATTGGTAGAAAAGAATGGAATCTAAAACAATACCCTCCCCCCCCCTCCCCAAGCCTTGTTTATATGTCATGATATCTTTACAAGAGCCAATGACAATATTTGCCTCAGGTCTAATGATGCAGTCATTTCACTATGGTACAAAGGGAATATTGACCCACATCAGGTGCTGTTTAGGTTTGGTGGAGTAACAAAATGTTTTTTCTCTTAGTTAAACTTCAGTGACCTGATAAATTTATTTTGCAGTCATTTACTGGGAGAATAGGGTATTGAATGAGACCAGGAATACTAGTAAATTTCTGTATTGGGGTGTGGCTAGCACCTCACCCAATACTGGTCTTATTCAATTGCAAGGACCTCATGCCATTCCTTACCAACCAAGCAAGTGACTGCACGTTAAATAATAATACATACTTATTATATAACTATACCTATACCTACTGGCAGTGCACATACTCATAACTACTTACCACTGTCAATGCCCATACAGAAAATCTAGCTATGTACTATAGTGATGCATGTACATGCACACTTTCATACTGGGGTATTCCGATATTTATACTTATGCATACACAAGCACACACACACACACACACACACACACACACACACAAAATACCTGGGCTAATAATACTGTCCATGATGGATTTTAGAGGACCCTTCATGTACGCCAGGCCCACCAAAATGCCAGCCAGGTGACCTGTAAGTTGAGATAATCAGATTTAATTACTTTTATAATTAATGTACTAGTACTAGTACTGACTACAAAAGTGTCACCAATACCGGTATATATTGCAGATAACATCTGGGGGTTAACTGAGAAGAAGTGAATGGATTTGCCATGTTGTGTTTCTTAAAATTTATGACCTCAGAAATAAATAAATACCTGGTATTTCAGTGTCTTCAACTACATGTATCAAATTACTGTTGCGAGGACTTGACTTGAATGTTATAAGTTTTAAAAAAAGAATAACATTCAACTATTTATTCTTATTTTTCAAGTCACAGTCAATTTTCTTAAGGAGAAAAATCCCACCATCCAACAAAAAGTCTAAATGCAGTTTACAGGGCGGGGTGAGCAGACGACAAATCAGTCACGCAGGTGAGATTTACGTCCAACTCCAATTTCACATCCATTCACGAATCCAATCCCAACAGATATAATATGCTCATGTTTCACCCCAGCAGAGTGATTCAAAATTATGTTTGCATACACCACATACACACTGAATGCGGTCACATTTGGGTTAAGCTGAAAATAACCTTTTGAGGTCTTATGAGAGTTTTTGGCTCTGTGGAATGTAGTTGTGTCAATATGTATTCATGCTACATAATCCTTCTTGAAAGAAAATGCTGTCAACTTTAGAGAATGATGTGCATGTCGTACATGACTGAATGTAATCTTAAGTTAAGCTGTATGACCATTGCAAGGTTAAGTAGTGTCTATGTGTGCGTGTCCATATTTTAGCGTGTGCTTGTATATGTTTTCGTGTGTGTGTGTGTGTGTGTGTGTGTGTGTGAACTAGTATTTTTAAAAAAGCATGCAAGTCTGCCTATGTTTTCATGGGTATGTGCATGTGCATAGTATAATTTTTAAAATGAACTTGACTAAAATCAACAAGGTATTTTCCCAAGTTAATTCCAAAGCATATTTAGATAATAAAGAATCGTGTAAATTCATTTGTCTGAACATTCTGTATCAGGAAATACATAGATAGATATTTTAGTATCATTTTAGAAAAAAATTAATGGAAGTAAAAATAGCATTTTTAACACAGAACATTTGAAAATTTACTAACATTACTTTTATAAAATTTAATGTAAAGATGACATATAGAATATTTAATTACAATTTTGTCACAGACAATATATGGAAGTTAAAATAACATTTGTAACTTAAGATCTATGGGAGTTTCTTTACCACTAACAGTTTATATAACAAAAATGATACATCACCTGTAAATGAGGCATTGGGTACCAGTAACTGTATCACTCCCAGCTCCACCCAGCAGGCTACCCTGGAGGGGACAGGGATCCCCATCACATACTGAATACCTGGGGGCAGGTAGTAAGTTGTCACCACCTTCAGGGCAAATATCACACCTGGAAAACAGATACAGGTACATGCAGTAGGTGGTTAACAAGGTAGATATCATACCTAGAAATCATACAGGTATTACTCCTAAATTCAAGAAAACTGGGGTAATTTGATTTAAGTTTACTTCAAACTAGGAGGAAGAAGAGAGAGTACAAAATGGTAATTTTGCAAAAATTTCTAAATGAACTGAATGACTTAAAAGTAATTTCACTTTCGTCGAAAAATATAATTCATTAAATCCATTTACAAAGATGAAATGGTGTGAGGTTATCTGCATGATGAGGAATACAACTGTCAACACCCTTTCCCATCAAAGAAATATACCAGTACATGTGCTAAACATATACTTGATATGAAACTGGTTACAAATTTCTCATCAAGAATGCTTCTTTTAAAAATTAAATATGCAATTTATGATGCCAAACAACTCACCAGAGAATCCAACAGCACATGTGGACAAGTAGTGGTCATTCTCATAAATATTGGCTACAGCAGTGTCCAGCAATAACAGAGTGCAGTTGACCAGTACAGAAAATACTGCTATGAGATATGCAAAATACAAGCTGCCCAGTCTCTTCTCTAAGCTGATACCTTTCCACAGAAATGACACCATGTTATAGTAAAGATGCCACTCGTGGGCATGAAAAAATGCTGCCAATAGGAGGCGCTGCCAGTCTTTTCGATACCAAACATTAACAACACTGACACAGACTTGTCCAATGGATGGATATTTTAGGTCGAAAAGACCAAGAAATACTGCAGTGTTGCCAAATATTGTAGCTAAGGTTACTGGTGGTATATTGTCAAGTCCAACGTTCAGAAGTTGCATCACTAAAAGCATTAATCCGAGGCCTGGACCTCGCCTCTGTCTGCTACCCCGAAACATGGTTATTTAGTACTCTACGTTGCTGTGGAAAATTGCCTCTCAGTATGCAACCTTCTACTGCGGGTGTCTTCTTTTGCCAAAAAGTTTAATTCGTTTGTCAGTGCTGAACAGACAAATGTAAAATCTGAAAAAGGCAAAAATATATATATAAGCAAACTCACTTGTAGCCATTAAGGTACACACACTTTGTAAATGTAAATTATAACAGCCTGGTACATGCATGTACATGTACCGGTTTACAATGTTCCTCCTCTATTCTAGAGTATATTATCACATCATGTTTTTTACATCATTTCTATAATAATTTAATATTTCAATATTACAGTAAATAGAAGTGCTCAAGACAGAAATATTTGGCACCCATTTTCTGTCCACTGAAATTTCCGAAGTGATGTATGGGTATATTAAACATTTGCATATGTACTGCACACTGACAAACACCAAGCTCAAATGTTATTTTACACACTCATCCAGTTACACTGGTTAATGATAAATATGTGGAAACGATTTTTATGTTATTACTTACCTCTCTTTAGGAACACGTCAGCTTATAATCCCCACAGAGACTTCACGCACTTGCGATCTCACGGTGGCGACATCTTGTAGCCTCGAAGTGAAATGTGACGTCAAAGGGGATTCCGTTCTATATTTAGAATATTCCTTCGCAATATTTTCTTATAGATTTCATTTATCATTGCGGTAGTTTAATATCATCATATTAATACTTTTAAACAAATTGAAAAATGAATAAAATATAAATTGCATTTGTATTACATTTGAATTGTATTGTATTACAGTCTTGTACCAGTAAGAACATAAAATAGACATAAATTAATTAACTTACAATGTACATGTATTACAATTTTCTTAAAGCAGTCCCACAAGCGTTTATCTACTTTATTTTATTTAATTGCTTAACCTGAATTACGACTATTTTAACAAGAAATTATAATGTGAACATCAGTCAAAATGAGCACGTGTCATGTGTCTCAGACATAATTTTAGAATGGTGACTTCAAATGTCTGTGTGCTATTTTGCTCTTTTATAGCGGATATAATTCAATTTCCTTTTATGATTGCTTGTTTTATTATCATAATAATAATTTTATCAAAGTTTCCTATCATGCTCATTTTTGCAATTTATTACTCTAAGTGTCAGCAGCAGCAGTAGAGTGGTGGTGGTAGTATTAGCAGCAGCGGCAGCTGTAATAGTAGTACTACATGTAGTAGCAGCAGTGTATAGTGGCAAGTATGTATATGTATGTATGTTAGTAAAGAATTATCTAACTTGTAATTTATCAACAAGTATAGGATATCGGCATCAGATATATTTAATTCACCTTGACACTATTCATCCAGCAACTGCAATGTGGTGTCAGGCGTTAGTTATACTTTAAATTTTTCGTTGTGTTAGAGGAGACACAAAGTATTGCGCCGGGAGGCGGCTCTGGGTGATGCTTCCGTGTGAGGTTAGAAGAACTAATTGTGTTGCTATGGCTTATTTTGCAAAACTGTAATAAACATGAAATCAGGTGCAACAAATAAACCAGTAACGAGTTTTAGTATCGTTATAACATAAATCTAGAACACGCGAAAAATACAGTTTGATTATGCCTGCAGTAGCCACACATTGCAAATACTGCACAATTCGTTTTGTTATCCCATGTTTTTTAAATAAACTGAAGATGACAAACAAATCTTAAGACGATTGGTAGGCTCATTGATGTCAGAACCTCTCTTTCATGTAAATAACCGTGCCTTGACAACGAGGTTGCGTACATGTGTAAGAGAATGTAAACTGCCACAAAGAAGAAACAGGCGAATCCTACATGCAGAAGCCAGCTTCCATGTTGAAACACTTTTTTTTATTACTGTAATGTTCTTGAAAAAGCGATCTTTTCTAACACTTTCTGAGAAAGACAGTCTGGTATTTATGATTTTCATCAACGTTAAATGTTTTATGTATAAACGCTGAATTTATTGTGGCCTTAAGAGAGTTTACATGTAGGAAGGAATATAAAAGCTTGGAACATCAAATATAGATACATGTAGCTGTATTGTCTATGCCCTAATCGCGGATCCCGCTGGCCAATCTAAATGTTTACATAGCAAATAAACTAATACAGAACACTATTAGGCTCAAATTACGTAAATACAAGCCAAACTTCTAACCAATACAATAAAGTACATGCTCTACAAATTGTATAAAATTCCCCATGGTTTTTTCAGAGTAATTTCATATGTGGCTGCAGTCATGTTCGTAGCACTGTTGACTTAAGCATTTCTATATGGTGCTAGGTAAACCTACATCCACCTATCTCTGTCGTTATCCTAAGCCGTAGTGGGAGCTATCTTATGGGTCTATATCACATGTACTATATTTTTTTGTTAAATCCAACACATTAATTATCGCCGGAAGCCGCGACCAGGTCCGCCTACTGGTCCAGGGGGATTGGGGCCTCTTCCAGGTCCGCCTACTGGTCCAGGGGGATTGGGGCCTCTTCCAGGTCCGCCTACTGGTCCAGGGGGGTTGGGTCCCCTTCCAGGTCCGCCTATTGGTCCAGGGGGGTTGGGTCCCCTTCCAGGTCCGCCAATTGGTCCCGGGGGATTGGGGCCTCTTCCAGGTCCGCCCACTGGTCCCGGGGGATTGGGGCCTCTTCCAGGTCCGCCAATTGGTCCGGGAGGGTTTGCTCGTCTCATGACTGTAGCGTTTCTAACTTCAAATTGGTTATCCGTTCAAACAGTTATCTGTTTCAAATATGAATAATGTACACAAACTATTCAATAAAACTCGTAAAATGATATGTTGATTTCACAAGAGTTCAGCGTCTTAAAACTATATAAATATTTCATTTTTTTCTCTCAGGTTCGTAAGTAATCTTTTCATTTTCAAAATATGAAAAATACATAGTCAAAACTGATATACCGGACTTGAAAGACCAATGTCAAATCATCTCATTGAATCAAAATTAAGCAATTAAAATACATGTACAGTGTATATGAACAGCATCTATTTTTTATGACATTTGTAAGATAAAGCCCGACTCACCAGTATTAGGAGACCAGTCACCGCCTAAAGTTTGATGTTCTGTCTCTAAGAACACTGTAGCTGTCCTTTAAATACGACATTAAACTAAGGCGGGGAGGTCAAAATCTAGGACGATCAATTGCGGACGTTTATTAGTTACCTGTACAGAGAGAACTTGGATAAACGGCGCACTTTAAAAATCGATGTCGAGCTAATTCTGGAGAATACATATTATCAGAAATGCAAACAATTCCAGTGAGAAAAGGAGAAATGTACACAATGGTAAAAAGCAAATACAATAGTCAAGTGCGTGGGTTGCGTGGGCGTCCGCAGAAATTTTTCCAGTGAGGGGGGGTCAAATTCATTGAAGGGGGAGATAATAATTGGCTGGGTACCCGCAATAAAATACAGTTCCAAAATTCCAGGGGGGCTCAAGTGACCCCATTGACCCCCCCCCCCCCCCTTCTGCAGACGCCCATGGTGTGTTGGGCTGATCGATAGGTACAGTGTGGCCTCACTGTGGTTTACCTAGTGTATTTGTATCTGCAGTTCGGACGGGTGTATATCACAGTAATGTAAAGAAATGTGCAGGAAAAGGATTATTACATGTGTATGAACATTAAGCCGTACTCACAGCAGGCAAAGTACAACTAGTATCGGTAGGATGTGACCGCACTAATTATAAGATCACGTTGAGGAAAAAGCTCGTATACAGATTATTCATTTAACTAGTAGGATTGGCTAGAAATTCAAATCACTTAATCAAAAGAATACTAGAGAAGTACCATAAAGTCCTGTAGTATTTTATTGAGACTGATAAATATTTGTGGTAATACATGTATGGGATGCAGGAGACAAAAGGTTAATTGATTTGCCAGAGAAAAATATGCTGCGCCTCTGGGAGATTCGTTAAGTATGAGATTTGCGTAAAATATCTCACACTATGTTGCCTTAAGTTATTTAATTGTTTATATCTTAAAGTGACGTGTACACGAGAGTTAACAATGCTTGTTTGCAACTAGGATAGATGTCGCACACCTTCTTCCACCCTTTTGTCAGAGTTCCATCTGTCCCACTTCATTTTCATACTAATTGCCTGTTCAAATTTTACCTTTGAATGCGACCCTAGTTTAAACTTCTGTGCTACGTTTATGAATAACAGGTGACAGTGCTAGCGCGACATGAACTGTCTCCGTGGGCCTGGGGGGTTGGGTCCTCTCCCAGATCCGCCAATTGGTCCAGGGGGATTGGGTCCTCTCCCAGGTCCGCCCATTGGCCCGGGGGGGTTGGGTCCTTTTCCAGGTCCGCCGATTGGCCCAGGGGGATTGGGGCCTCTTCCAGGTCCGCCCATTGGACCAGGGGGATTGGGGCCTCTTCCAGGTCCGCCCATTGGCCCGGGAGGGTTTGCACGTCTCATGACTGTAGCGTTTTAACCTCAAAATGGACACAGTTATCCGTTTAAATACAAAACAATTTCTCCCCTTTTGTAGCTGTTAACAAAACTATTCAATAAAAGTCGTAAAATGAAACAATGATTCAAGGGTTCAACGGCAAAAAATTGCATTCAATTTTCATATCATATCTCAGATTTGGAACTTATCTCTTTTTATTTCAAAATTTGAAAGATTGCGTAGTCCATATCGATCTATAGGCCTTGTAGTAACCCCGCCCCTAAATTACTTTTATGAAATCTCATCGTATCTCTAAAATTTTAATTAAAGGCATCTAAAATACATGCAACTGCTCTGAATTTCTTTCTTATGACATTTGTAAGATATAGCCCGACTTACCAATATTAAGAGACCAGTCACCGCCCAAAGTTTGATGTTCTATCGCTAAGCACGCTGTAACTGTCCTTAATACGTTACTGAACTAAGGCAAGGGGATCAAAATCTAGGACGATCAATAGAGGCCGTTTATTATATAATATAGAGAGAACTTGGTGTTGGATAAACAGCACACTTTAGAAATCGATGTCGAGGTAATTCTGCCGAATACATTTCAAAAATGCAAACAATTCCCATGCTTTAAGGAGAAATGTATGCAATGGCATTACAAGCAAGTACAGTACAATAGTCAACTGCGTGGGTTGGGTTGTATATTTATATGTCTATATGTACATGTGTCGCCTCACTGTGGTTTATTGGGTGTATCTGTATCTGTACTTCTGACAAGTCTATATCATAGTAATATAAAGAATGAACTTCTGTGCAAAAAAGGGTTATTACGTGTATATTTTCTCACAAACATATCAGGCATAGTACAGCGAGTATCGGGAGGATGTAACCGCAATAATTAGAAAATCATGTTGGGAAAAAAGCTCGTATACAGATTATTAATTTAACTAGTACATTTGGCATGAAATTCAAATCGTTTTATGCGGCCCATACCTACATGTACATTCATATCATCATGGTGTATAAAGGGGTTTTGTTTTTATATCCTCTTACTGAAATTTCCAATAGGACGTCCTTTATGAAATTTCACCCCTAATCCCATAGGGCCAATGTCTTATAGGACAGGAACCCTTAGGGGAGCCAGATAAAATTTCTATAGAGTCTTTTAGGACTCATATACAGCATTAGAGAAGTCTTATGGTAGAGAGTCCTGTAGTATTTTATCGATTCTTATAAGACGACATTTAGGACATTTTCGTAACCAGTTTAAACTGTTATGCGTTTATAAATAACAGGTAACTGTGCTAGTGCGTTATGAACTGTCTCCGTGTTGTTCTGTAAAAGAAACATCCCCAAATTGTGTTCGGCTTTTGTCGTGAATCTCCGGCAGTGTCCCGATTCCCCGAGACGTACATGTAGTGCTATTAATTATGCATTGCCCAGGAGAGAAGTATTTGACTATAAACGTGTAGAACTATTATTAAAAATAGTAAGCGAATAAATAACTCAAAGGCTAAAGTTCTCTTCTTCTTATCTCGAAGCAGCATGAGAAATAAAACTATTACGCAGGTATTATCTTTAGTCTTAATGTCAACTTCGTTCTATTGCATATACCAATACAGGTGATATGCGTCGTTAAATTATGCCAGTGTTTTTATGGTCTGAACTGTGAGGTCGTTAATTCAGGCGCAGTGACGTAAAGACTTTGTCTGACCTAGATAACGCATTTAATACGACGTAAACAAGCTGAAGTACCTGGAAGCGACATTTTACAGTGGTACAGTGACAACACCAGCGATTCCCGGCATAAGGTGAGATGCCATTTTGAAGTTTTATTTTCAGATTGTCAGTGAGGCAACATAGAAACCATCAGGAGACCTTTATTTTTAATGGTTTCTGCGATTGACGCACGGTTACCGCTGAACATGGTATTGCAGGTACATGTACATGTATACCATAGAATTAATTGATAACAACATTCAAAATAAAAATCCAGGCATGTGACAAAGGTGAATCATATCTCGGTCAGTCGATATTTACTAAGTAAAATGTGCTGATAAGGATCAAGCCCTGCAAAACATGTACGTGTACCGGTGAAAGCAGACATGAGCTTTTTCCGTGGAAAGGCGGAATTCCGCGTTTTTCAATTCAGTTCTAATGGCTCCTGAGATTCGTCAAGGTTAAGTGTTGGGTCCCATGATAAATGTTCAGAGTTTTTTTTAACCTAGGGTTATGTCTGTTGAAGTGACACTTACTTCCTGTTTGCAGTATCCATATTTGCATCTCTCTCTCTCTCTCTCTTTTTCTCTCTCTCATTCGTAATGCGTGTGTGTGCGTGCGTGCGTGCGTGTGTATGTGCGTGTTTGTGCGTGTTCAGTAGACGCGAGGTAAAAGCAGGAAATGCATTAATGCCTATTCCAGTACCAGTATAAACTGTCAACATTTTGTGAGGTAAAAGTTAGTGGCACAATGTAGTCATTTCGGACTTAGTATCATTCATTTTTTTTTTCTAGACTGTAAATATTTTAAAGACTGTAATATGTACATCTATATAGTTTAATTAAAAGTGTTTATGTGATACATGTATGCAGGGGTACATGTATGCTACATACAAGGTGCTGGCACTTCTACCGGCAGTACCCCAGTATACATACAGTGTATATCTTAAATGCAAGTTACTTGCATTTCTATGGCAGTTAATTTACATTTGATAGACTTAAAGACATATACGGGCGAACGACCATAACAAAATGTTGTGGACCATGTACTGAAGAACAAGCCATTATCATAAAAGAATGGAAACATTTCGCAATTTATGAGAGTTGAATAAAACTGTGATTTGCTTGTCTGCCATCCTTTCCTTTAAGCATGGACCTTGAAAAAGCGGACCCTGCTCTTATGAAAACAGAAGAAGAAGAAGAAAAAGAAGGTGAGTCTAAATCTAATATGTTATATCCACATAAGCAGAGATTATGTTTTTCGCTGCAGCTGGTGTGCAGACAGAATACTACAAAATGTGCTCAAAATCTGATAAAATTTCAGAGGATAGATTCTTATTTAGGTGATAAAAACTGATTTTAAACCGAATCCACGTCTCAGTTTTTATTTAACTTAATTATTAATTTTTTGCTTCTTGGACCGCTTTATTATTATTATTATTATTATTATTATTATTATTATTATTATTATTTGCTAAGCACGTAAGACAGTCTTGTGGTGATTTGCAGTAGGGTGTAGTCATCATTTCCTTTAGCTTCTGTTAAATATGAACACAAAATGTACAATACCTGTACGAACGCTACCCGGATCTTAACAATGACACACGGGATTGCATTTTCACCAGGTATTTTAAAGGTGAACTGTCTAATGCTGCCCTGCAGCATATAATTTTCAAACCGTTCTTGGTGTGCAATTACGTGTTTTATTCATACCTGTAGTACAGCTAGTCATATATTACCCATAACGATATAACGTGCATTATGTAAAATATTTCCCCATGGCATATTTGGACGAGATTCTCTCCTTACCTTTGTCAGTTACTAAGATTCTGATCATAGTGAGCGACATACCATAGCGATACGCTCTGTACTATTTCAATTTGAGAGATAAAGTAACAACTTCATAGTTTAGTTATCACAAGAGAGGCTTAAGTTTAAGGATACTTCTTCCTGTACCGCAACTTGATTTTTCACTAGGTATTCACATACACCTCTATGTCTCTGCTAACTCATCGCACCATTTATAATAAAAATAAAATTGTGCTAATTAAAACGTGTTGCTGATTGGTAAAAATTAATTATGGTGCGTGTGGAAGTTACACACGAAGGGATAGCAATTGAATTGAGACCGATTTAAGTCTCATGGTGGTTAAGGCGGGCTTGAAAGCGTGTTAGAATCACTTTTAGGCGTTCTCATGTGTCTTAGTCTAAGAGCAACTAGACATGTACGAATGAATTGATGGATGTTCCAAAATATACATTTTCAGAAATAGGAGACCACTCTCAACCGACTTCCCTGCTACAAGTTGCTCCACCACATGACGATAAAGAAAAGGATGAGTCCCAGCCTACGTCTGCTGTCACTTGCAATCCTGCAAATTCCATCGAGACAAAGTCAACAGAAGCATCCCCTGAAGTGATATCTACTGATTCTACGACATCACCGGAGGTGACATCGTGTAACGACGTCGTGACCGACCCGCATGTGACTTCGACAGCTGCAGGGACGTCACATGACGAAGCCAAAACCGCTCCGGAAATGGCACCGAACCTGAACAACGAGAATTCACAGAAATCTCCCAGCTCTTCACCGACTTTCCAGGAAATACTGGATCAGAACCGAGACAGGTGCTTACTTGAGATGCAGCCCGACTCGGTATTGGAGGAATTGTTTCAAAAAGGGGATATTACTGCAGAGGTAAATGTGCTCAAACAGTGTGTGTGTGTGTGTGTGTGTGTATGAAGGTGGGTTAGGGGAGAAGAAGGTTGCAGGTTCTACCTTTGCTATTGGTTCCAGTGACAGTATTGTAGTTTTTTGTGCTGGTGCCGTACCTTGTATCGTGTTGATCTATAGTACAACCGTGTTCTCTTTTTTATGACTACTAATATGCCAATATGTTTAAGTAGCTATGGCTGGAGGCATACCTTAGGCTTTTTCAAAGTAAAATTTCATTGAACCGTTATGTGTAATTTTGGAGTGATTTTTTTCATTCACTATCTACTATACTTAATATTTGTTTTTTACGTTGTATTGTCCTTCTGGCATGTTTGTGTGAGAGATATAAATTAAATTAGTGAACCAAATCAACTCCCGATACAATGCGGAAAATAATATGCCAAGCGTTTTTTTTTTTTCTTCTTTTTTTTTTCTTTTTTCTCGCGGTGTTTTTCATCACTTTTTTGTTTAGGAATATGAAGAAATCTGCAGAGTACCGATGAGGGCGGACAGAAGTGCAAAGCTAATTGGATTCCTCAAGGAAAGTACTGTTGACACATTCCATTCGTTTTGTACATCACTCAGAAATACCGATCAGCTCATTTTGGCACAGGCTCTAGGAGCTATAGGGCGTATGTTTGTTTTTTCATTATTATTTCTTTTTCTGTTTCACTGTTTCGATTATCCAATGACCGTTCCAGAAATCTGAAACCAATTTGACTTTCGGTTTTTTATCAAACTAAACTTTTATTGCATATTGAAATTGCAAAATGCCATTACATATTGGTAAGGAATAAAATCTTAACTACAGTGAATCATTGTTTGTGAGCGCTGATGAATTAATCCTCCTTTTTATACTTTTTATTGAAAGTATTGTCATTATAGCTATACGGGTGAAGATAAAACTGACGTCCTCCGTAAAGCAGGAAGGGCTGAAGCTGATAGCTCTCGGCTTACTGAACGATAAAGCAAGAAACACCAATGTCCTCCGTTCCGGAACCTCTGAGGCCCGTTGTACGCATGTGCAAACGATAGACCTGGGGACCGTGATTTTGACTTGCCAGTGCCATGACATGAAGGCGTTGGAGGAGCTGAAGGTTAGCGATCACTGTAGTTAGCCAGTGTTGTGTTGACACGTAACACAATGCATCGATAATTGAATATCAAGTAGCAAACTGTAAAGAGACAACAACAAAAACACACACAGTGACACACACTTTAATCAGTCGTATTTTACAGCTCAATTTTCAGCTAGCATAAAATATTTGCTTAACCGAAAGATGTCATATTCTTAGTATGAAAAGAAGAGGAGTTTAAGTTTTAACTTAAAAATCTGAAAGAATATCTATGTATACTGAATATATACACTAGAATTATAGTTTGTTTTAAAACTTCATACCTGACCTTCATACCCAAGCCAGCCTGTACCGTCGCGCAAATAATTACTGGGTAATTGGATATCCTCAATTACATCGAAATCGCAAACAGTTGTAATGCTTTTTCTTGTACACAAGCCATTTAATAGTGCTAAATATTGCAAAAATCCGTGTATTGAATACTCAATAGTTTCTACACATTAACCCACAGAGTAGGGTTCAAAGGTGTTCCTACAGCTTATTCTAAAATTCTTTCTACTCCACTTCAAATCATTTAATCATCTTATTCTGGAACTGTCGCGTAAAATACTACACACTTTTTGTTTCATTTTTTAAAAATTCTATATTAGCTGATATATGAGGATGGATCCCTTACCCATATGTTTGAATCCTGGGCTGGATTGGACGAAGCCGGGGATGATCAAAGGAGGTATGCTGTAGGCGTGAAAGTTGACGTTCAAATCGACCCGAAAGAGTTTCATGATGTCGCTGAAGAACTGAAGATTTTGGAGGAAGCAGGTTGTTACTTTTACCGCTTATAGAATTAAAATGGAATAAAGAAGCTTCGTTTAAATAGGTTATACTGTAAGGATTTCAATTCACAGGATAAAGCTATGATGATTAAATGGCATACATTATTCTAACTTCTCCACCAATTAGCAGTTTGAGTAACCTAGATATTTTAAATGGTAGTGAACTGTTTTCATCAAGTTTGTATTCATAAGCAGTATCCCTTTTAATACAGATCAAGTCTTAAACTAAAGTAAACTCTTACTTCTTTTTAAAAACACACTGTGACGATTTTATAGAGTAGCTAGTAGTCCTGAGACTGTATTTATATTATATATGTACTTTTTTGGCTTTATACAGTCTCATCACATCTACCAACATTTCAATCAATGTTGTGTTTCCAGAAATATATCGAGAACAACAAAAGGCGTTCATCTTGCGGCAAAGAGAGAAAAAAGCGGAAGAAAAAGCTGAATTGAATCAACGAGCTTATGCAGGTATAGAGAAGCCATTGTGTAATATAAGTTCACCCTCTTGGTTAAAAAGCAACTGAGAAATGAAGAAGACGACATAGTATAGATACACAATATTGAAAGAGGGCTCCTTGGCGTAAATAATAACCCGACATACAGACTAATCTAATTCCTATTCGAAAAGGTGTAATTTTTATATGCAGGTGTCCGCTGTTAAGGAGTAAACGTGTAAAATCTTAGCTGGTCAGGATCAGGAAGAGATTATTTCCTTTCTTTCTTTCTTTCGAGGCAATTAAGGTTTATTAGTATTATTATTAATTTGTCTGTTTGGAAAATGATTCAGGTATTATATTATATTATATTATATTATATTATATTATATTATATTATATTATATTATATTATATTATATTATATAACAGATGTTATTATCCAAATGGAAACCACGGACTTGTCCGAAGAAGCACTGAGAGAAATGTTCGCCCAAGCGGGCCCATTCATCGAATCAGACAACGAAAGCATAGATGGCGTGCTGGTCTTACCGGAAAACATCTTTGTGAATTCTGAAAGTTTGCTGCATTTGGCGGAGATTGAACTGACAGTGTTGGGGCTGCGATGGAGCTCAGTGACGCCTTTGGAAATAAAATCACAGCTACAGAGGTGAGGCTGGTTTTTTTTGTACATGTAATTTGTGATGCGTGATGTCAGAATGTATCCCCCCTGGTCTGAAAACTCACTGCTACCTGCTGCTGTAGGCGTTATCACTTTCGCTTTCCCTTTCTGTAACGAAAGCTGAAAAAAAAAAACATTCATGAAAGTACATGTCATCTGATTTGTTATCCCTCAGTAATAATTTTTTAAAAAAAAACTTAACTTTAACCCATGGATGCGTTGGTTGCCGCAAGGCGCACAAACTATAGGCCCTACTATTATTACAATAATTATTATACCCGTCAATGCGACTATAGGCCCTACTATTTTTATAATAATTATTATAGCCGTCGATGTGACTATAGGCCCTACTATTATTACAATAATTATTATACCCGTCAATGCGACTAGAACACCAAATGTTTTCTTAATTGTTAGATGCTCTATTTGTCAACAGTCACAAGCACGATTATTGAAATACGAATGGCATAATTGTGTTCGTTTCCTTTAGATTGATTGCCACAAAAGTCCTTCATAAAGAACCAAGTGACACAGAACTAGAAATTGTAACTCTGAATGTAAAGACATGCTGGGGATCCGAAGAGGCGTCCATCTTAAAAGACACAGCTGATCACAACTGTGAGTAATGTCAAATGTTCAGTTCAAATTCATTAATGGTGGATTTGGGAAATGTAAAGCTCATCAACATACTTCATGTCCTACCTGTTAACATATATCAGTTAAGAGTTCAGTTTTTTTTTTCTTTTTTTTCAGTCTCGCACATTTGCAGCAATCAATTGAGCTAGAAACAATTAAGAATTTGGTAATATATATTGGTTTCAAAGAGGACCTTTTGTATTATCCACTTCAGTCATTTCAGCTCCTTTGCTGTAGCAATAAATGGAAAAAGAATAATTTCTGTATTGAATATTTCAGCTGAAGACGCAGAGAATGTACGGATAAAGCTGCTGCGAATATTCCTACCGACGTTGACAGCATTTCTTCCATTGGAAGAGTTCGTTTATAAGATCAGAGTCCTTACATCAGCAGACAAGGTCAGAAAGTATTTTTTCAGGAATTTCATAACTAAAAATGGGTGATATCAAATTCCGAAATGATGTATTACCAATCTAAAAGATGCCGTCTACTTTTTTTCCCAGTCAGGGAGCCACCCTATACCACCGACAAAGATAGAATTTAGTAGATATTCACAGATATTTGTCTTTGCATTTTTTTCTTTGTCCAACGAGAATGTTTTAACTTATTCGATGCCATCACTCAGTTGGCCGTCGGTACAGGGTAGTTCGGGATCTGAATAAAATTTCTCATTTCAATAAAAAAAAAACGAAATACTTGTACACTGTTACATGTAGCTACATGTAATTCTACACCTATATATATTCCTTTTTTAATTCTCCAGGAGCACGTGCTGTTTCAGCAGCGCCGCAGCGGGAGGTCACATGCAGTGACAGCGCTGATGGAGACGCTCATCCTGCGGCCATGTTGGTACAAGGAATTTCTGCACACACTGGAACACATGGATACGGTAAGTGTTTGTTAATTGAGCCACATAAAACGTGAACCAAAACCGGTTTAAATGAGAACTTTTTCACGACCTTTCGGTTTTTTATCTGCACAGGCACGTTTATGGACTTAAGTCCACATACTGGGAGAGGGATATACATGTAGGGGGAAATTTATATTACACAGAGTGTCCCTTAAGTAAGTATCTACAAAGTCCTATAGGTCCCATAGAGTCCTTTAGCATTCCGGGAAATCGCAAGGGATTGGATTTCAGAAAATAGAATGATTATTCTTTTAAACTGTTTTATCGAAGAATATTACATATGTAGTTATCATAGACACTTATATCTGTCAATATTAACTTCCAGGATGACGGCAAGTTCATCTTGTCAGTGTTGGCAGGCTGCCAAAATATCCCAACTCAGTCCATGGTCAAATTTCTACAAAAGAGTGACGAGCTTTTGGAGGTCATGCGCATGGCCATGACCATGGGAGACGAGAATATTCTCTAGAAAGCCTACGAAGTTGTCCGCGAGGGGGCCAAGACAGCCCAGGGCCTATACCATGTACTGACTGGCGCTGCCCTCGGAGTCGGGGCTGGTTTTGTTGCAGCGGGTCTGACGGGAGCGTTTCATGGTGCCGTTGGTGGCCCGGTTGGAATGCTCATTGGGGGGACGCTAGGCGTTGCTGCTGGTGCATTCTACCATCTAGGAACGAGTGGACTCTTTGGGTTCAGCGTTGGATCACTAGCGGGGTCATCCGCGTACGTAATATGATTATACTTATAATTGTTCTTGTGAAACAATATAAATAACATTCTAAAAAACTAACCTATAGATTTTTATTTGTGGATAGAATGAGATATGCTTTTATTAATCATTTCTTTAAAGGCACCTTGATATATATGCGAGTGGAATTTTAACAGATATTATTTCGCATTAGCGCTCAGAATGTTAACAGGAAAAACAAATGGATATTTTTTAAGTTGCAAAACTGTGTAATATACATTTTCTTAAGATTCCGTCTTCCTTAAAATGAAAATTAAACTGATAATATTATTCTTGAAAAATATTTTATTGGTCATTTCCAGGTAATATATAATTCCTTTTTAAGTTATGGTACTGGTTAACCTGAGATATTTAACACAGAAAACAATGTGTGGTTAATGTAATAGCACAAGGAATAGTGAAAACGGCATTAATTTTCCGAAATTTCACCGCACTGACTTTCTTTTTAGACGCTCCGATTTCACTCAAATCTTCTGCAGAACGCAAGACAGCGGGTTCGACACGAAAAAATTCATGGAGCGTCGCACGAATCTTGCCAAACAAATTCAAAAACGACAGCACGAAAAATTAAAGAAAGAGTTCAAAATGATGCACCAAATGGCAAAAGACGGTGCCGTGGAGGAAGGCAAGGAGGAGTGCGAGACTGAACGAGAATCTCGAGAGGAAAACGAAACACAACCGGACTCAGAAGAGAAGCCTTTTTTGCAGAAATGGATGAAGTCATTTGATTAGATGTTGTTGTGAAATATAAACAAACACAGTTCATTTATATAATATTGCTTTGGTCCACCACTGATATTTTATTCCGGTTTTAAAAATGCTAAAAGCATTTTTGCGGGATTACAACATACTTTGCCTCGTTTTAAATTTTTAATAATATGAATGTCTTGAGCGATGGAACGCTTTCTACGGTTTATATTTTGTTTTGTTCTTTAAAACAGTTCTTCGTTTTTATGGTTTATCTTTTCTGTTATATTTTCTTATTTTAAATTATTTCATTAATTGCCTTTTAAAGAATTTTATTATAAACATGGATACAAGAAATTTGAGCAACTGAATGAATTTATATTGCGTTGCACACAATCGGAAACGTGAACGACTGCACATGTGCGATGTATTGTGGTGAAGGATTTAAGAGAATAACGCATATTATTATGTCAGAAAAATAAGAGGGAAAAAGGATTTAATGTATTATCCAAGAATATTGCCTTTTAGTTTGTAACACACATACTAAATGTACGTATATGTACCAGGAGTTCGGTTAGACAACTGCTTCACAGATTAAACCATATGTTGGAGATTATCTGTTATTGTAATATGAATTAAGTTGAGTATGGGTTTTGAAGTGCAACAATTTGTGATGTAAAGGAACTAAGATTCTGACAATGAAAGTTGTACTGTAATTGTACAACTGTGAAGTCCACAGTATTGAGGAGATAGGCGAGATACTCGGTAATTTAAATCTTGAATTCCACTGACAAGACAATTTAATGTGACAACAGCCCACAGCTGCAAGATTCACCATCTTCTTCGGGAGCTGTACACGCCACGTGAAGCACTTATATAATCAACAGAGAAGAGGGATATGTTAGTTCAGCCTCGACAGCAGAACACTGCGCGTTTCAAACCATATGGGCTTTCAAAGTGAGGCTGTCAAGCTGGGTGGTTTGCTTCAACGTTTTTCAGCTGTTGCAGGTTTCCCGCTTTTCACATCTGAGGCTGTTTATATACAAATTGTATATGCATGTATTTTACCCATGTGCTTGTTAAATGTTCACGTGCTTAATAAAATATATCCATCAGTTGCAAAACATTATTTTTGCATAATATCAAACTGACGTTCATGTTTCCTTTAATACAATGTACTTCGTAGATGGCTGGCCGAATCCCTGCAACTGCACAAACCCGAGTAGTACCCCTGTATTTCGATAAGTCTGCACGATTTTGAATAATTTCGTCAAAACTTCATGTATTCCTTTGCTTCATTAGTTCTATACTTTGCAAGTCCCTCCACTTTTTGATAAATATTACAGAAGCTGCTGCAAGGACAAACACACCGAAGCATGGTGCAATAGTTAGAAAAACTGCGGAGTAACTCCCTGTGACGTCACGGATATAACCTGAAGAAGTAATAGAACGACTGTTAAAGGTACAACAGCGGACTATAACAGCACAAGTATATGAAATATTGCTAATCTCCCTTATATTTGAAATACTGTAAGGTACATGTACACATGTATGTGTAAATGTGGAAATACTGTACGTACCCTTGTAATGTAGAGGCGCATGGAAGAACACGTTGTACAAGACCGATGTGACAAGAATGGAACATGAAATTTATCGTCGTAGGCATGGAAGCCAGGGGTCACATATAATTGGTTCAGGTTAGGCTAAGTTGGGGTATTGGGGCTAGTATAATTTAATCTGTAAAAAGTAATGGGGAACGGACTACGGTTCCTAGCGGAATACCATTCCTTTCACACCGGCTTCACTTTTTTAAAAGACCAATATAATTCATATACTGTACATACTGAAAACCTTGTCCTAAAAAATGTAGGCTAAAATCTACCTGCCAAATACGGTCCTGACGTAGCTCCGATGCCTTTACTGAAACGCATTGTCAGGAATAAAGAGCGAACGTTTTCTCCTTCCATGATCTCGTTAGTGACAGCAAAGTAACCGGCGTGAAATGGACCAAAAGCTAGACCTGAGACTAGAATAATTTATGATTTCGATAAGATTATAGAATAATCGTTACAAAAATTAGTTTTATATTCAAAAAAAGCTTTCATTTCTCAGTTAAATTCCTTTCAAGATTATATCTGCTCAACTTTGAAATCTTATTCTAGCAAAACATAATAACTGATCTACACACATGGACAACCGCGTTTATTTGTTTCATTATAAATTTAAAGTATGACTTAAAAAAAAAAAATAGTTCTGGTAAAAATAAAAGAACACGTACCGGTACTGTATATAAACGCACCAGTTAATGATGTCGAATATGCGGCGATGATATTATTAATTGCGAGCAAAGCTGCTGCAACCAAGTTCGCCAACAGTAAATTCCCCTTCAGATAGTCTCCGACCCAGGAGAAAAACATCTGTCCAATCATGCCCATGATGCTAAGAACTGTTATCACGTATTCTGCTTCAAATTCTTTGTATCCGAGGTCGGTAATGTGTTTTGGCTGAAAAAAAATATATTTGGTCAGTTTATTCTATTCGTCATTTTCTGTGTATTTATTTATATACGTTCATTCATTTTCATTAATGTTTCTTTATTTGGCTATTATGATATATTCCAGCTATTTGTTGTACTTCTAGGAGATTTGGCTGTAATGTAAAAACCAAAAACCGATACGAGGTGGGTGGTGTGTATGGCGTATTTTGTCTTACCACATTTTAAATAAAAATTACAGTCAGCAAAGTCACCAGTGCTACAATACTGTAGGTAGTTCTTCGCCTAAATTCTCCGAGTATGTTTAAAAGTTATTAAATTGTGCAAACAGAGCGATGGGTGGATTTGTTTAAAATATATATTAACATCTTATAGGGAATGTTTATAGAAGTACCATTTGATTGACAACATTCAATAAAACATGTAGTTGAATTAGCTAAAACAAAAAAACATTTACCTGTCGTTACAATCGTACTTACTATTATAACAAAAGGTAAATGGAATGCGAATCCCTTACAACATATCGCCACGCCCCAGATCACATAAATTGCAATTTTGGAGCCGAGGGTCCAAGGTGGTTTTTGCAGAAAGTCTGACCTAGAAAAGGTATGATATTTATGTTTAAGACACGGTGTTCGACGGTGGTCTCCATGGGGACTATAGACTTAACTTACCAGCATTTTGTGTGAAACATGCAAGCGTAGCTTTTGTGCTATTTACCTATATTTAAAAAAAATAGTTTGCCTGTTTATTCTTTTCATATTTATCACAATGGGCAAAATAATCATGGTTATGAAGATATGCAACTGGAATATGTACGAATTAATGATCAATTAAAGCTCTTTAATGAAGCGTAAAAAGGCCAAGCTTCATCTACTAAGATTATAGGTTAAAAATACATAGTCTCCAGAGAAATTATTTGATTTTATTACATAAATGAAATTGGGCTTTTAATATATTCATGTATTTAGTATTTACTTTTTGTCTGATTGGGATCCTCGCTGTTCATTTGTCGCCTCTGGCGGGTTTCCGTACAGGAGGAGAAGAAGCAGCCCCAAAGAAGAGAGAATAACTGTATATATTCGGAACGCCCAACGCCAACCCAGGGACGGATTTGAGCACATCTGGGCACTTAGGTTGTTCAAAATTGCTGAGCCTGGAATTTAAATCGATAATGCAATGTTTCTTTGACTCCAGGCACAATCCTCATTGAACTAACCGCAAGTGATCTGACACAAGGATACGAAGGAATACTAAAATGTTTCCGGGGGGGGGAGGTCTATTTTCCCTTTTCTGTGGCTGTAATGTATGGTAAGAATTCTGTGATCATTTGCATGTCACTCTACTAGGGAAAATCTTTTATTTTATTTCACGAATAAAGCATTTCTTTAATGAAAGTCATGTTTTAAGGCCATTTTTTTTCATATATTTAAAACTTTTTATTGGACATTTTGAGCTTTCGTAACATATATCTGTACCTATTATTATTTTTTTATTATTATTATCTGGCCAGTTGTTTTATTCAGAGGGTTTGTTTACTTACCAATTGGCTGCAAGGTGTTCACGGCACTGGTTGTAAACACGTGGTACTTGTGTGACCATGGGAACCAGAGTGCCACCACTAGATACGTACAAATAAGAACCAACCCGCTGCCGCTGCCGGATAAAATTCCAAATGATATGGCCACAGACACGGGCTCATTTGCAAGTGACGTCAGCAACAATCCCAGCGCCATCAAGATCAGTCCAACAGCTATGACCTGCTTGAGACCAAGTTGTCCAATCTTGGACATCGCAATATAGATGAAGTTGCTAAGAGAAAGTTTGAACGCATAGTAGACTGTTAACGGGGCACCTGTAAAACAAGCAAACAAACATAGACTTACCACCAATGGAATTGTACTGTAGCATGATTATAATGATCTACAGGTAGTACACAAACGCTTATTAGACCGAAACACAGGTTTACTACCCTTAAGCATCGGAGGTACTGTCTTAGCCCCACACCCCTCCCCGAAAAATTAAAAAGAACTGAAAACATATACACAAAACAAACTTCCCATACATATACCCAAAATACTGACCGTGAAATTATATCCTCGTCATCTGTTTAACTTTTTTAATGCTTCCCCGACCCCCTCTCCATCTCACCTAACCCTTGACCCAAACCTGGGTTCGGCGGGTAATGAACCATGCGTTCAAAGCAAACTACCTCGGGTTAGTGTTTTTCTTCATGCTAATAAAATGATATAAATATTAATGCTTAAAGAATCGCCGAAATTTAGTCATATTCAAGCTCTACATGTATCAAAGGCAATGTTTTCTTTATGCATGGAAAAAATATTTACCTAGTGCTGCAAGAGACGATGACGGGAAATCTTCATCCTGCTGAAAGCACAAGATTGTTGTTCCCCACGAAGTAACGACCCCGGCCCAGAGCACGAATACTAGAATAGCAATCCCAAGCACGACCCAACCCCTGTAGATAGGGGGAGATATCATTGCTGTTCAGGGTGATGGTCCCAACTAGGCCATCAGCGCAATCAAACTGTGATAAAAAATGGGATTGTATTTTTAAATATGTTTTGGGATGTTGATCTTTAAAAAAATGGTGGTAGTTAATCAATATCATATAAAATCAATTAAGGCAAGACGTAATTTTCAATAAGATAATACATTTTGCTACAACTGCCTTATTCCATTCTCTTCCATTAAAAAATATCGGTGCGTCTTCTGTGTTTATAATTATGATAATCAAATCATATAAAGCAAAAACGAGAAATACATGTACCTCATAATTATCAAATAAACTTTTCTTACCTTTTACTAGTAATAACTATCTTAATATCACCAGTTTTTACCTTACAGGTCTCACAAGATGGGTCTCAGAGAACCGTCTGCCCGGCTGAGATGCCTAAATCTCTTGAAGTTGTGTGAATTAGAGGTGCGTTTATTGCAGGGGTGATATCAGATATGTGTAAAGGCCATTCCACCGGTTCTTGATGATCCAGTCTATTCTTAGTCAAATCTTTAACTGACACGCAATGTGACCTCTAACCACTCTGACAGACATTTAATGCATATCTTATTACCATCAGAATTACAACATCAGCGGGAGGCAATAGAGAATCAGATCTGTGGGTGACAAAGTGCCCCATTAGGTGACCCTTTACAACAAAATAAGACTGATATTTCCAAGTTATAAACAGACACATGGATAATAGGCAAAAACCACAAAATCGCAATTTTTTTCACAAAACCTGTTGCGGATGCCACGCCAAGCAAACACAAAGAACGTCGGGGAGTGGTCCCACGTTTAATTCACGCACGAATGTTGAAGTAATGAAACTAATAATACAAAATAACAAAATAATGACATATAAACACCATTAATGGTAATATACAATGCACATATATAATATAAAGTAAATACAGATATAAGGCAAAATAGACAAATATAAAAAATATCGAATGACTTATATGAAACAGGAGGTGATGTCATACATATTTATGGATTTGACTAGACATCACTAATCAAAATCTTACAAATAAAAGGTTCACAAATACATAGAAAGAAATGTGGCATTCCCCACCCGTGGCGATCAGTAGATTTTGACGCAGTAACTACAATAAAACCCCGATACATGGCGACCTGAGCACTAAAATTAGCAGTTTAAACGTAAAGATGGTGACAAAAATACATAGGCTTACTGCAAAAAATACCTGAAACATTTACCTTAAACATGCTAATAAAATGCACTCTATAACATTTTATTTAGGACAACAATATTTCTGACAAAACTGCTTCTTTGCTCGTCGGTTTCAAACAACATGAACTACTTGTTGAGCGTATATATATTGAACAAAGTATTTGTAGATGGCAAGTTGTAAGGGAGGGGCAGGCAAGGGGAGATCTGACCAAATATAGCACACCAAAGGGGGTGATAGGTTGTCACACCTATCACAACCTCATTCCCTGACTGCAAGCAGGCGAAATACTGGCTGGTAAGACCAGACAGATATAAGTAGCTATAGGCAAAAGAATCTTCACAACTCGTTTTCGGCATCTGGATGATAATAAAGGGTTACAATACCCTTAATGCAGTTTTAACGATTATATCGTGCACCACTAAAATAGAATTCGTAGGAAAGTTGACGGTGTCGCTATTCGCTATTCTGACACGATCTGATATTATTAAGGGTGTAAAATAAAATTTTAAAAGAAAAGGGTTTAAATCTTTTTAACCCCTTGATATGAATGAAACTACTAAGGAGAAAATGCTGCATTTGATTAACAGAATATTATCCACCCTCCCCCCAAGAAGCTTAAGTATGCAAACTTCAATTCTCTTAAACTATTGGAAAGCGCATCTTTTCTCGCCAGGCCGCCCTATAATATCTGATGGCTTCTCTATCCACACGGAGAACCGGGCAGCTTGCTGCGGTGCCTTCGGGAGCTGATAGAATCACAGGGACCGACTCACGCGGTGATCACCGCTTAAATACATGCAGAAGCCATTCTTTCAGTAGGCCATATCTTTGATTTACATGTGTAGGTCTTATCCGCATTGATATACAGGGAAGACCACGCCTTCCTACAGTTGATGCTGCTGTCCACTTTGTGGCTGATCTCGTTTGACCACCAACTTCCAAAATTGAGAGAAAGTGGGCTGTAGTAGTACTTGTGTCACACGGTTTTTTCTGGTCTATTATCATTATTTTCGGTATTGATTTTGATGTAGTCCACATCCAGCTTTCGTGCTTTTTACTATTTAAACCAGTTTATCTTGATTATGTTGCTATACTTCTAGCATTCATTATGTTACCTTGTGAAATTGATGTTATTTTCTTTCATTTATTTATTTTTTTTTTTTTCATTTTTATGTTATATATAAAGGACCTCCGATTTATACACTGTAAAATTGTACTAAAATTGAAGTCTTGGTTATAAATTCGTTTCATCGTCCCCGGTGGCACCAACAGGCATTTTAGCAGAATCTCCCCCCGGACCTGAAACGCACCTGACCTGAAACACAAGCCATGCAGAGATGGATGGCCCACAACCTCGGCAGCAGAACACTCCACTGCTTTTAAAGTATACCGTGCTTTCAAAGCGTGGCTATCAGGCTGGGACGGTGTTTTGTTTCTTCGTTGTCAGCTGCTGGCTTTCAGATGTTCACTGTTGGCTGCGGTGTAGCTGCGTGTGCTTAGTGTCTGTCGATGTATAATTGTATCCACGTGCATGTTTCTTTCTACTTAATACTTTTTCTTCATTTAATTACAATACACTTTTTTCATAATAACATATTAACATTCATTTTCAATGCTTCGTGGTTTCCTATTCATTTCTGCCTCGGCTGCATAGAGTAGGGAGAGGTTAAATCTGGTTTTGAGGTATTTTACTCAAACGTGATTTTGTTCTTCATTAGTTCTACACTTCTTAAGTCCCTCCACTTGTTGATAAACGTAACCGTTGTCGTTGCTAGGACAAACACACCGAAACATGACGCAATGGACAGGAACACTGCATAGTAACTTCCTGTGACGTCACGGATATATCCTGAAAGAGTANTTGGTTATAAATTCGTTTCATCGTCCCCGGTGGCACCAACAGGCATTTTAGCAGAATCTCCCCCCGGACCTGAAACGCACCTGACCTGAAACACAAGCCATGCAGAGATGGATGGCCCACAACCTCGGCAGCAGAACACTCCACTACTTTTAAAGTATACCGTGCTTTCAAAGCGTGGCTATCAGGCTGGGACGGTGTTTTGTTTCTTCGTTGTCAGCTGCTGGCTTTCAGATGTTCACTGTTGGCTGCGGTGTAGCTGCGTGTGCTTAGTGTCTGTCGATGTATAATTGTATCCACGTGCATGTTTCTTTCTACTTAATACTTTTTCTTCATTTAATTACAATACACTTTTTTCATAATAACATATTAACATTCATTTTCAATGCTTCGTGGTTTCCTATTCATTTCTGCCTCGGCTGCATAGAGTAGGGAGAGGTTAAATCTGGTTTTGAGGTATTTTACTCAAACGTGATTTTGTTCTTCATTAGTTCTACACTTCTTAAGTCCCTCCACTTGTTGATAAACGTAACCGTTGTCGTTGCTAGGACAAACACACCGAAACATGACGCAATGGACAGGAACACTGCATAGTAACTTCCTGTGACGTCACGGATATATCCTGAAAGAGTAATAAAATTATTGTAAAAACAACTAAAAAGATCGGTGAACTACAGGTATGATAAGTACGTGATTTTCCCATATCTCTTTCTCTTGCTGTAGACTGCAGGTACCATAGGCATACGGTATTACGAAAAATCGATATACACTGTAGCTTTCATGCACATGTAAAGCATGAGGAAATATCGGTGTAAGAAAAGATGTGCATGGTTTGATACACACTATTGCTGGAAGTTACATTCGAAATATGCATCAAATAAGTCTACATTTTTCATCACATATAGTCGACTTTCGTATAGGTTATATGGTAAACGGGGCCTTAATTTAGCAACAAGAGCATCACTTGAAGAACCTGATGTAGACGGAAGCAAGAAATGGAGAGCAAAAAGAATTAAAGATATGCAAAGATATTCTTAATGACGGGATTAATTTACCTGCCAAATACGGGCCTGTGGTGGCTCCAACGCCTGTGCTGAACCGCATAGTCAGGAATAAAGTGTCAACATTCTCTCCATCCATTATTTCATTGATGACAGCATAGTAGCCAGCATTATATGGACCAAAGGTAAGACCTGAAACTAGAATATGGTTTCACATTTAAGTTGCCAGTAGATGATAAATTATTGACTACCCTTTTTGGTTCACCTTTCCAATGGGTTTTCGATAGAAATACGCTATGGGGATAATATTAATTTGCCAATTTGATTCCTACTGTACGTACATTATATATCGGGGTTTTGTCCTCGATTTTAAATCTAATTAAAATCATGCGTTTATCCTTTCAAGGTTTTTAATTTAATTTATAATAGAGTGGTGTTCAATTGATTGTTTAATAGCATACTTTACAAATGTATTATTTTGAAGGTTGGTTTAAATATAAAAGAACGCTTACCAGCACTGTACACGAACGCCCCAGTCAAAGATGTCGAATATGCAGCGATGATATTATTTAGTGTAAGCAAAGCAGCTGCAACCATGCTCACGACGAGTAGCTTCCCTTTCAGATAGTCCCCGACAAAAGAGGAAAACATCTGCCCAATCATGCCCATGATTCCTAGAACTGTCATCACGTATGCTGCTTCGTAGTCATTGTAACCAAGGTCCGTCACGTGTTTTGGCTAAAAGAAAGGAGAATTAGGGCATTCATAACAACGGACTAACAGATCCGCGGATCAAATATGGCCGACCCACTTGAATGCTTGTTGCGTAATCCCTGCAGGGAATCTATTCAGTGTCTAATTGGGAATCAAGCTACAAATTTTTACGTGGGTTGCCATATTTGATCAGCGGTCCTGTTGGTCCGATTTTCTGAATGCGCTCCTTGAAGAAGCGATACATTGGTCTATCGATGTTGCAAAATCTATTACTGTGAAATTTCCCCAGCAGTGACCATCATAAAAGTATCACAAATGCTACAGTGTTTGCCACGTTCAGATGTATTTGTCTCTAACTAAATTATCAAAATATACACATGTGCTCGTCTAAAACTTTTCTTCGAATGAGAAACTAACATATTATGAATGTAACCACGCAGGCATCACTATGGTAACCATAATACTTACCAATATAACAAAAGGTAAAAAGAAAGCGAACCCCTTACAACATATTGCAACGGCCCATACTCCATGAAGGGCAATTGTAGATCGTCTGGACCACGGTGGTTTTTCCAAGAAGTCTAGCCTAATAGACATAATGACAATTAAATTAAATATATGTAACTTCCCTATACCTCATTTTGGCAGTAACTCATGTCAGCATGCGATATCTTTAATGTACAATCGTTTTAGCAAACGCAACATAAATTATTTTGTATGGATAGAGAAACAACTTTACCCTAATATGTAACGGATTATTAACTTTTAATGGGGAATCTCAGTAACGCACCCACCTATTTTACAATTTGATCTTTATCAAAATAGTTAAAATTAACGGTCGTTTTAGGTTGATTTCAAAAATTGAGACAAGTAGGCGCCACAAAATTGTAAACCCATTATCCTTCCTGACTGTATCATAAATACAGGGGGAATTGTCTTTCATTGTCTCTTAACCGTATACCTACAGATGTATAGGTGCATGTGAAAGTGTGCTTTCATGAAAATAAGTTAACCGAAACGTCATTCCTAATAATTAAGTAATGCTTTAATTAATTTCGCCCCCTTGAAACCATTTGATTTTTACTGTATAAAGCACTATGGAATTTTATCATCAACATAAACATATATACTTTTTGTCAGTTGGGTAGCCGCATTGTCCATTTGAAACCTCCTCTGGCGGGTTTCCGTACACCAGGAGTAGAAGAAGTCCCAAAGTGGACAGAATAACTGCATAAATTCGGAACGCCCACCGCCAACCCAGTGAAGGAATTGAGCACATCTGGGCATTAACGTTGTTCAAAATTGCCGTGCCTGAAATTTGAATTAATACATTTTTGTTTGTTTGTTTGTTTGTTTGGCGACAGAGAGGCTTTCTGCCGCAAGACCCATTAAACTAACAGTTCAAGGTGGAATTGACCTAAGGAACACTAAGTAAAACTAAAATGCTTCGAAGAGTGCATGTTTCTTCTTTCTCTATTATTATTATTATTATTATTATTATTATTATTATTATTATAGCCAGATTTAAACTTACCAAGAGGCATCATGTTGCTCAACGCGCTGGTTGTTAGCACATGAAACCTGTGTGACCATGGAAACCAGAGGGCAATCACTTTAAACATGGAAAGTAGAACCAACCCGTTACCAGTTCCTGATATAACTCCAAATGATATCACCAAAAACTCGGGCCCATTGGCAAGTGACGTCAGCAACAACCCCAGCACCATCAAGCTTAGTCCAATAGCTACAACTTGTCGAAGGTCAAGGAGACCAAACTCTGCCAATGCCAAGTATATCAAGCTGCTGAGGGATAGTTTGAATGCATAGTACACTGTTAAGGGGGCACCTGTAGAACAAACAAGCGAACATAAATATTCTTAGAGCTTTCAAATACGCGTGAGCTACGAAAAAAGGTAAAATTCGGTAGATATTCCGTACATTAATATGTGCCTAATACATTTTAGATTAGCTCATTTTGATAAAAAGCTAAGATATTTTGAAGAGGACAGAACAATGGGTATTCTTCGGAAAGAAAAAAACACATCATTTGAGTACTTATTCTCGCAACGACTCTTTTTTACTAACACAGATCCATTTTTTTTACAAACTTGTTATTATTAATATATCGCTTTTTAGGATGGTTATTGCTCGATCCTCAGTCTATTCGTTTGATGGCCGTGATTTCTTCTATTTTTCATTTTGTTTTGATCACTTTTTCACCATAAAATCCATTTTTCATTTAATTCTATAGAAAATTTTGCTACAAGAGTAATTACTAGCATACGTCTTGGCGGTTTATTTAGGGGAAGGCAAAGCACGCGTAAATCGTAGTCGTTGAGCGGGAATCATGCAGTACTTTATTTGTTTGCTCTTATACCGAATTTAGTAACAGCTCATAAGTGTCTTCACCACAATACCATAGAACCGAAATCATTTTCGTCTTTTCATCAGCCTGGTTGTTTGACTTTTCCTTTCTTTTTTTTTTTTTTCTATTTCTCTTTGTGATACTATGACTAGTAGTCCATAAGGTTACCTTTGATACCGTTTCAAACCATTTCCATTTTCGTGAGTACATGTGATATCTGTTTATAGATTTTTCTAAAAGAAGTAGAAACAATGTAATACTGAAGACCGTTAACCATACTAAATGTGCCAAATTTCCATAAGTCGTCAGTAAAAAGCATAACTCTTTGACCTTCCGGAACATACTAAATGTGCCAAATTTCTATAAGTCGTCAGTAAAAAGCATAACTCTTTGACCTTCCGGAACAAATTTTACCTTCTACATTAACCAATAGGAAGACCAGGCCTACCCAGCTACCAGACTCGGCACCTAAGGATCCTGAATTAACCGGTATATCGGACCACGCTACCCGTTTTCAAGGTGTGTGTCAGATCGCATTTCGGAGTATCATACCCCAGAAAAAATTTTGTAGCACGACTGCGGGCTCATCCACGCTCGGCTGAACAACCTTAAACTGTACTCTTACATTAGAGTACTCCATTTTATTGTCTCTATGGGGATATATGGGGACTTTACGACATTCGGTTTGAATGTTTTAACCACTTTTGATAGGGCTTTTTTGCATTGTATTAGATTAATGTGGCAGTCTAAGGTGCATCTAAGTGGCTTTCAAATTTATGCACCCGGTTTTAAAATCATATAGCGATTTTACGACAATCGTTTACTATCCAATCAAGGTGACAGCCGAGCATGCCAGGGCTCATCCTGTCGGTGTTCTGGCTGATACTCCGAAATGCGATCTGACACACACCTTGAAAACGGGTAGTGTGGTCTGATATACCGGTTAATTCAGGATCCTTAGGTGCCGAGTCTGGTAGTTGGTTAGGCCTGAAGACCTATATTGCCGGTAAGGCGAATTTGAAGTAAACGTTTTTGAAGGGACTAGGTTTGATTGCTTAGCAGTACTCGCTCGCGCTCTTCTACCTTTTCTATGAAAGTAACGGTCAAGGTCACAAGAGAATTGATGTTTATTTGATTTCTCCTATTGGCTGACCAACTCACCACATTGACAGGAAAAAGTTCCAGTCTAAATGTTCAAATCATGGCACATTGGCAAGGAATATGAAGTTAACGGACACAAACTAATTACTTTGGGTCAATGGGATTTGTGATGCTCCAAATGTTTTGCACTCACAAAAAATAGAATAGCATATTCATTTCTGAGCGAATTTTCCGTCCATACCCTATGGACTATAGTCGGTGGCAAGGAGCAGGCAAGGGAATTGTTATGTAAATACCTAAGGTGAAGTCTTGTCACAGAAGTTTAGTTGCAATGTTTGATCATATTTCGTGTACTAAACCATGTACTTCTAGTGAATAAGATTTCACTCTGCAAAGTTCAATTAACGCAGCCACAGCATAAGGTCTGCTTGTGTGGACTTTCTCGACTCCCACATATTGGCTGTCAATTTCAGCTAATCAAGATTGAACGTCGGCATAAGCTCCTCGATATGATGACGTCCTGTATGTCGCATACAATAGACAACTCGTTTTGTAACTACCGTGGGTTATACATGTACATATTCTTACCTAGCAGTGCAAGAGATGATGTCGGGAAATCTTCATCCTGCTGAAGGCACAATATTGTTGTTCCCCACGAGTTCCCAATTCCCGCCCAGAAAACAAATAATAGAACAGTTATCCCAAGCACTACCCAACCCCTGTACAGGGGAGAAGATATCATTGTTGGCTGGTGTCACGGTCTCGGACTGAGGTCGCAATCAGACCGAGTAGTGAGAAAAGTGTGTCCTCTGTATCATATTGGGTCACCAAAGCTACATCTTCTACCAGGTCCACTGATTGATTTTCTCTAGATATTCACAGAAAATGTCTCAGGCTAAATATGTTCAATCTTCTAACTGCGCTGCTGGTGGAAAATTTGAACCTTATACCTGCCGCCTTGGTAGAGGGTACCAAAGGTACAAGGTAGAGAGAAAGCACGAGGTGCGGAGCTTTGAGCGAAACAGAAGAGATAATTGGCGAGGCCAAGCATGAAGCCCTGGAACATTAACGGTTGAATGGGGCACAGCGTGTTCTTTTTCTAGTGCCCTTTACCCTTATATCAGTGCGTTGTCGCGAAGGCCAAGCGAATACATTGTTTCATTATATTTTGCGCGTGATCTAATCATAGCAACTCTGTACGATTAGTTTTCTTAGTTCACTTCATAATAATGGGTGTCCGCAGCGAGCCAGAGCATCAATACAGATGTACTTTATATTTTGTGGGTTGCGTAGTTTCCTCCCAGATGCCCAAAGTAAGCCGTGTTATATAACAGACAGCCCCCCCCCCCCCCCCAATGATAGAGAGTCCGCTTTCCATTCATTTGTACAGGCAAGCCTCGATCTAGATTTTGACCCGCTTAGGCCAGGCTAACCCTAACCATTATAACTAAATGGAGGGCGAACTTACTGTTACGAGGACCTTCAGTTTAGTTACACAGGTACTCTAGGATAGAGGGGCATTCAGTAAACTTCAATGTATGTCTTTATTACTGTATAATTAGTGTGTATTTAAGAAATTATTAATTCTAAGTTACTTCATGTATGTGTACTTGTCGTGTATATTGCCTTACCATTTTAGCATACTGAGGCGTCAGTCTTTTTCAGCGCTAGCCGGAGCACTGGGGTTAAGTTAATATTGTGTGAGTATTTGCATCGTTATAAGCGAGTTTTTTATGTGCAACGCCGTTATTATATTTTTATGTAAGTTTATTGTTTTTTTTACGGTGTATATGCTTAATGACAGTGTTAAGTGATCAACTGTTGAGTGGTTTATTGTATACCAATATTAATTATTGTATTAATTATTCCATGAAAGCCACCGCTACGTTACATTCTGTTAAACACGGTTATCATTCAGTTATACTTCACTATAATACATTGTCTTTTCATCCTACGGATATGTGGTTGCACTGTGATGTGCGTGTGTAAATAAACCCTTTACAGCCTCAGCGGCGTTACACAAGTAACCCCCTTTTTACCACTAAACCACCTCCAACACGCCTTAAAAGTACACGACAAGTTCAATAGGTGCAACATACAGGTACATTAAATTATAAAATGTTCTCGAGTACCTTTATAATCTTTTATCCCCTCCCTCCCACCTCCCACCTCCACCTCCCCTACAGGCATTAGAATATTGGAATAGTACGGCAAGTTCAATAAGTGCAATATGTGCTGATACATTAAATTATAAATTGTTCTCGAGTACCTTGAAGATCTTTTATCCCCTCTCACACACACAAATTAGAATATTAGAATATTAAATCTAAAAGTTTTTTATCTGTCACTTAGTGGTTACAACAAGTTTCCAGTGCGCTTTGTAATGCATGCAAGAAAACAGTACTCAGGAGATGCGAAACGCCAACCCATGTCAAGCGATTCAACACTTAAGAAGTGGATACGACAAAAAAGAGAGCTACTATGTATACCTATATGGCTATAAAAATGCACTCAAATCCTGACCTTCCTTCTGTTCACCGACCTCATGAGGCGAGACGCATATCTGAATTCACCTCAGTGCAATTAATATACAGACAAAAGGACGCCTTCTTATATTTCACAATATTTTTTAAGACGCATCTGAGTTGACCCTTACCCGGCGGGCACAATGACTTGCAAAATAAAAGTTTTGTGATCAGCTCAGGGACATCAGAACCCATTGACAGAGAGAAAGGCACCTGTGTTCCACTCTAATTCAAGGGACCATTCCCAGACCCAATCATACTGACTGTGGATCGATCTATGTCCAAGGGGATTCTTTCTAATTTGCAATCAACTTAAGCAGCTTAGATGTCTGTCGCGTCTACTGAAGCAGCTAATGGGTAATTAATTATAATTTAGCAGCTGCAGAAGGCGTGGCAGACATCTAAGCTGCTTAAGCTGACAGCAATTTAGCGAGAAACCTTTTGGAGATGGATCGATCCTGTTAGATCGATCTAGGTATGGAAACCCAGTCTTAGAGACATCTCACCCTATCTCAGGTGACTGCGTGGCGTGGCTTGATCGCCTCGTGGCCCAGTCGTCGCACTGGGACTTTTCTCTAAGCCTGTTAGATAAAAAGGTACTTAGAGGAAAAAGTTTATTTTATTTTTTCTCTATTTACTTTAAGGAATTTGATGATGTGTAAACTCAATAGAGGCTTGGTACTTTGTACGCAAACGTAGCCGGTCGAGATAAAACCGGTCAGGGACTGTCATGATAAAATGTCTGTTTTAATTATATCATTCAACATTGATTTTATCGATTTCATTTTACGTTGATTAATAAAAGCCTTATCGTACTGTTGCGATCACAAAAGGTCGACTCGACAACATATGCTAAGGATAAATCCATACTACAATTTTATTTTTTCACAACGGTCTGATCACAACGACAGAACAAAGAAGTACTAGAAATATCTACCATCCGATTTTCTCACTTGATTACGACGACAGTCTGAGACCATGACACAAGATAACAATGATGTCTTCTCCTCTGTACAGGGGTTGGATCGTACTTGGAATATCTGTTCTGTTATTCGTGGTCTGGGCGGGGATCGGGGACTCTTGGGGGACAACGATCCTGTGCTTTCAGCAGGATGAAGATTTTCCGGCATCGTCTCTTGCAGAGCTAGGTAAGAATTTCCTTGAATAGATTGCCTGCGATATACTACACTATAGGCCTATTTAGTGAGGCATGCACGTCTGAATATGACTTTTTCAACTCACTGTTATTTATCCGATCTTTTTACAAGCATGAATGAAATACACTTTCCCGAGGTCGATTGTATTGATAACAACATTGTTTGCCGAACACTGCACTAGAACATCCAGGGTTAGGCTAAGGGTAGCGAGGGGATGGATGGGCGCGAGAGGACGCATTTGTAAGACGGGAGATGAGACCAATATTAAAAGAATACATAAGGCTTAAGGATGGGAATAATTTATGTCTTGCTGGTTACATTCTTGAGTATTTTTAGGCGGAGTGGGGGGGGGGAGGGAGAGGGTAAAGTTAAGGGGGTAGTGCACGGTGCACCCGAATATCGGTGATGCAGTAATGTGAATTCACAATTGGTCATGAAACCCCTAGAGAATTTGAGAAAAGACATGTAATTTAATATTTGGACAGGTCATACCTCTATAGGCATGCGTTCCGTTCAGTTCTTGAAATATTTCTCTGAATGTTTTCGTGTCATTCTCAGTAGCCAGTGTTCTGTATTATCACGAAATTTGTAGAAGTAATAAATGTGAACAACTTGATTTTATGCCATCTTTCCCAGTGCATGGAAAAAAGCCCCTGGAGATGTACATCTTCATGTGAAAAATATATACTGAATTACACTTATTTTCTGTTCCGCGTAGTTCAAAAGATGTTTAATACATGTTTGTTTGTTTATTTTCCAGGTACCCCTTTATCAGTTTACATCGCTGGCAAACTGTGTGTAACTAACTTTATCTACATTGCATTATCGAAGTATGGTCACCTTGACCTTGGGCAAGTAATGGCACTTGGACTCATCTTGTCGGACCTGGGGTTGTTGCTGACGTCATTTGCAAATGGAGCCCAGTCTGTGGCCATTGCTTTTGGAGTTATATCCGGAACAGGAAATGGGTTGATAAGTATTTGTGCGTATTTAGTGACAGCGCTCTGGTTTCCATGGTCACACAAGTTTCATGTGTTAACCTCAAGTGCGTTGAGCGCCTTGGAGCCAATTGGTAAGAGCCCTTACCCTCTGAATATCATAATAATAATAATAATAATAATAATAATAATAATAAATCGTAAAAAAGAAAAAATATTACATAACTGGATAAATAAAATCTAAATGGGCCTAACAAAAATACCTTAAAATTACATTTAAAAGTTAAACAATAAAGCAAACCGGACCCTGGGTCTGTCATGGCGAGTAAAAGTAACAGCATTATCATTTTAATCTTAGGCTCGGCAATTTTCAACAACGTTGGTGCCAAGATGTGCTCAACTCCGTCACTGGGTTGGCGTTGGGCATTCAGAATATTTGCAGCTATTCTCTCCTCTTCTGGAATGCTTCTGCTCCTCCTGTACGGAAACCCACCAGAGGCGAATGAACAACGGGGCTGTCCATCAGATGAAAAGTATACATTTTTACATTTAAACCCCAGTGGTTATGATATATAGCAAAATGTAAATCGTCACCTATTTAAGTGAACGTAGCGTGTTTCACATAGTAAAATGTAAATGATGTCAAGTGACTACCTGTACGCATAACGCCTTTTTCCTTATTTGGTCTGTCTTTTCGGCCCTTCATCAGAAAACCTAGATCACGTGAGTGGCCAGTCGATGTGGCGACATAGCAATAACTGCCCCATAAGAGACAACTATAAACTTATTATTCTTACCTTTACATACCAAACGTTAGGAATTGCGACCTCACGTTTCGACCAAACTTTCATTTGAACAATTATGATAACAAAGGGGCTATAATGTAAAGCAGGGAATTATTATAAGGATATAGTCATTTATGTAGCGTTTGCTCCGTCGATTTTACGCCAGATCACAACGGAGGATAGATAGAATAATATGAAGTCAGTAAGATAATACCAAGCGCCATTTGGGACACACAAAGGTCATTCCTCTTTTAGGTTAAAATTCCTACAAAAACCGCCCTGGTCCAGAAGCTTTAAAATTGCCATTCATGGAATATGGGGCCTGGCAATATGTTGTAAGGGATTCGCTTCCTATATACCTTTTGTTATACTAGTAAGTATGCAAGTTGCGAAAATGTGCACCGCTTGTGTTAAAAGAACCAAAATAATAATTCTTAAAATTTGCATGGTTTAATTGTCATGTGTTAATATTTTGATAATTTTCGACCACAGCTTGTGGAATAATCAAGGCAAACAAGAAGTTATGTTGTATTTGTGATACTATTAAGATAGTAATGTACTGATTTTCTTCGAGACTCGGACAAGTGGAAGGTAAAACAAAAGGTA